TCAGTAGCGAACCAGCTGCTCCAGGAAGGCGTCGGAAAGGAAGATTTAATGTCCTTGTCACCCATACAGACATCACCGTGATTTCGCTAAAGTCCAAATCGGTTCACATAACCCCCTTGCTTGAAATCCTTTAAGGGCTCCTCACCTTACATGGGATTGGGCCTCAATGCCCCAGCAAGGCACGCAAGGCCTTTAGTGGGCTGAATCCTCACCTGTCCGTCTCTCCAACCTCTCTACTCCCACCCACCCACCTCAGCAACAGGGACCACAGACAGTTCTCCAAACACATCTTTCCACCTTGCTCATGCTACTCCCACTCCCTGGAACCTTCTTTCCCAGGAAACCCTGACTCAGTGCATCCTCTGTGCAACTCCCCATGACCTTTCCTCTCTCCTCCACAGCAAGAGGAGCTCCTTTATCTTCTGGGTTCCTAAAACCCTTTGTAGACACCCTTCTAATCTAGCCCATGACAACATAATTATTTGTTAATTGCTTTGTTTCCCCAAAGGTCTTCAAGGGGAAAGCCTGAGGTCTGAGCTTTTTAAATCCTTAATGCCTAACATTATGACAGGAACATGGTAACTGTTTAGAAAATGTTTGATGAATGAATGAAGGTTTGCCTGCTAAGCCTCTGCCAGAAAAATGTGAAAAACAGGATGTAGTTACACCAACATTCCACTAGAGGGAGGGATGTAAAACTTTATCCCCTCTCTCTAGTGTAGCATTTTTGCCTTGTTCTCAGTCAGATGAATATAATCTGATAAAATATTTCAGTTTTAGGCTAGGCCTAATATAAAACAACCTCTGATAAGCTTGAGGAAACGTAATTATTACAGGTCACTCTATGCCAGGCTCTGGGTTTGACAATGGGCAGTTCTTCTGGGTACAGATGAATAAAGGGTAGGTACTATATATAACAGTGTTTTACATTTTCAAGTTATGTAGAGTGCATTGAAACGCATTACAAAGCTTTTCTCTTTTCAGACATAATCTCGTTATCTAAAACATGCTCCACCTAGAAAGCTCATTGCTCCTTACACAATAAACGCTGTGGAATCCGATGACTACCCAGCTTTCTAATTTCCTGTTGCCCTATATCCTTCATATCCTGTCTTGAACACACACATATGCTGTTCATGAAGTCAGCTGAAACAATTCATACAGCCTAAAATCTAGATTAATCTCAAGTTCTATACCGATGTTCAATGAACGTGACAGACTGACAAACGCTCAAAGGCAGCAGATGACCTTCCCCCCGCAGCCCCCAACCCCCAGCAGCACCAAAACCCCGACCGAGCTGCTTTCTTAGCACCCAGCATCTATCAGTTTAGCATTTGTCACAGTGTATCGTAATAGTCTGCATACTTATCCATACCTGGGTGAGGCTGAGAGTTCCTTGAAGAGGCTGGAATGGATCTTATTCTTTCCCCCAGCCTCAGCTGCTAGCACAGCACCTGGCACATGGTGTCTAGTACATTTTTTTTAATGAATAAACGAGCTCATTTCATTATACGGGTAGCAAGAGACTGATTTCTGCCAGCAGTCTCAGGAAGAGGCTGGATGGCTTTGGGGTGTATACAGACATGTATGCATACATGTGGTGGAGGAGACTGTCTGATTTGAGGCATCTAGGAGGAGACAAATGTGTGGGTACACCTTCCCCAGAATCTTCCCAAATCAGTAGCTAAGGTGTCGGAGCTTTCATAATTAGAGAGTCATACCTTTGGATTATTTATGGCTCCCTGTCAACATATCTTGAACACATGTGCCCTTGTCATCACTTATATTATCACATAAATTTCAAAACTCAAACTTCCCCAGCATCTGATCTGTATCCTCAAATTGTGCTCCTTCCCCACCTTCCCATTCCTGCTCTGTTGAGAATCTCAGATAGACTCCTGTTTACTTTCTGTGGTTTGTATTAGGACATAGTTTGTCTTTTCAAATACATCACTATATGTCAAATAAGCTCTTTCAAATCATGTACACAATAATATTTGCAAGGGATTAAAACACATCAATTTGTATAATTCCATGAGTTCATAATGATACTAAAAATTAAAAAAAAAACTTGATTGGTCAACATTAGAAGATCTAGTGAATTGACTCTTTGTGTTGAAAATTAGTAAATGAAGGGAGAGAATCAAGCATTTCTTCTGCTTTTCCTATACAAACAGCACCACTGGGTAAGCAAAATTTAGGGGAAGGTAAAGCTTGCTTTCATAGAAATAGTCCAGCAAGTAAGTGAAGAAGAAATGATAGAATATCACCTCATGATAGAATTAGAATGTGACCTCTAATGAATTAACGAATTTAGACATTGACTACCAATGGCTGGTAACATCACAAAATGAAAGGCAACCAGGCGGTATACGCCTCCTGATGGAAGTATAAAATATTAGCTATAATGAAATCTGATCAAAGTTCTAAATCCCACAATGTATTCATGAGAAACACAGAGAACAGCAGAACATGTTCAACTAACAGTGTAAAAAAAAAAAAAAAAGACGACAATTATGAGACAATCAGAAATCTGAATACTGACTGGTTATATGATGATATTAAATAATTGTTATCACCTTTTTTTTAGGTGAAATAGTGCCATTGTAGCTATGTTAAAGAAAGAACCCTTATCTTTTAGATATTTAAAAATAAATATTTACAGATAAAATAATACAATGTCTGGGATTTGCTTCAAAAATAATACGGGGGCGGGAGTTAGGGGTAGTGGGTGGGCATATAAATGAAACAAGGTGGCCTTGCATTGAAGCCGAGGGATGGGAACATGGGAGTGTGTTATACTGTTTTGTCTACTTTTGTATATACTTGAAATTTTCCAAAGAAAAAGTTTTTAATAAAGAAAAACTAACACTTTTCTGAATATTCTGACCATCTTGTCCTAAGGGACAGCCACCCCCCTCCCACCCCTTGAGATCGTTATCCTAGGGAGTCTCCCCGAATTGAAAATACCCAAGTAACATTAATTCATCAGCCTCTCTTTACAAACTAGTATAAAAGATTATTTCCTGGACTGTTTTTTACCGCTGAAAATACTGAGTCCCTGAGGGCAAAGGTCAAAGAAAACCCTGCAGGAGGGAAAAGGAAGGGCTGAGTGTGGGAAGAAGAAAGGGAAGAACAAATTTTGCCTTTATTACAATTTTCCCAGGGCCTTCACTAGTTGGCACATGCATCTTCTCTGTGTGGGTTTTACTAAGAGAACTTTCACTGGAGGCATGAAAACTATGTTTAAATTCCGAACTCTCAGGTTAAAATTTCACAAAGCATCCCCTTTTACGTTGTCAAAGGCTAATTAAATATTTTCAGAAGCGGGCTCAGGGAGACACTGATGAGATCAGTTGGGTGGAGCTAGGGCACAGCTCTGTCTGAACCTGGGAACAGTCTAGACCTGTCCATAGGACTACAATGACACGGAAGCCAGGAGAGAGTAAAGAGTCACATCAAGTGCTCAAGAGTATAGCTTTTCATAGCAGATCTCTGGAAGAACACCAAGAAACTGGTTGCCTCTGGGGAGGGAAGCTGGGGCACTTGGAATAGGGTGGGAGGAGAAAAAACATTGTATGACTTTATTGTCATAGCGCCTTAGTATGTATGATGACATTTGCAAACAGCCTTTTGTTGACGTAAGTGACTGTACTTTTTATCCTGAAATTAGACCGAAGACAGATGTCTGTTTGTTTATGGGTTCCTTGGCTTGGGCCATCTGCTGGCACTACCTGCCGTTGGCATATTTTCTTGATACTGCCTCCCCTCGCCTCCCTACCCCACCCTAACCTCCCAGAATCTGACCACAAAAATAGGATTTTAATAGTTCTAGTGCGACTTCTATAGGTGTGACATGGTATTGAACAAAGCTCAAATTCTCTCACAGACGCTCCTCTAATAGCAGAGCCAGTGAACACTGTCTTTGATGGCTCCTATTTCACCTTAAATATTCAGGTGAATTCTGTGGTTTATGATTGACATTGTAAGTTACTATTAGAAAAAAAGTGTCTCTGTGTTTATCCTGTGGTTTTTAAGTATCCCTGCACACTCTGCCTGTCTCTAGAGTATTCAGTCCAGTTGCATTGTTTTTTCCTCTTTGTTTAATGAGATTATTATTTACTTGCATTAAAATGTACCCATTTTAAAGGTACAGTTTGATTAATTTTGGTAATTGTATACAAGGTGTAACCACCACCACGATCCAGATATAGAAAAGTTACTTACCCTTTAAAAGTTTTCCATCCCAATTTGCCCCAATTCAGTTTTGAGACACTTTACTGAGTTTTACTGCTTTCTCTAACATCGACTCTCCGGGTGATTTAGGAAAGGCACTTTACCTCTCTGGATGTGTTTTTGCTTTTATAACATGAAAAATGCCAGAAGAGATTTGTTACCAGAGGCCCTTGCAATACTTCCAGAAAATGAGGGGGTAGGGTAAGGGCGGGAATCTCAGCCTTGCGTCCCCATTCTTCACATGGCACACGCATGTGGCAGATCCTAGTGGGAAAAGCCTGTGGTCGCCTGTGGTTTCCATCTCCTCTCTTGCTAGTGTGTATGTAACCTTTTGTAAGCATCAGCTTTCTCATCTCCAGTATCAGGCTTATTAACAAGGCCTATTTGTTTACTGTTGTGAGGATGAACTGAGATGCGCCGGCAGCCTTAAATGTTAGTTGGTATTTGTATTATGGCATAATATAAAGGCACTGCATTCAACTATCTCGGTTACTACACATTTATGCAGTCTGATTCTCACAGCCAAAACAGACGCACAAAGTACACTCACCCCTTTACCCACCTGGGGAAGCCCGAAGCCTGCCTGCCGGCCTTCCTTACAGGGCTCGGAGAAAAGCTGCGCACGCGTGCATGTGCTTCCAAAGAGCCTCGCTAGGGGGCGGAATGGGAAACAGGAAGTTCTAACGCCTGTCGTACAAGCGCGACGTAAAGCGGGTCTGCTTTATGGCACCCTACTTCCGCCGTAAAGCGCCGTCGGAAATCCCGCGTGAGTGGGTTGACGAGACTACTTCCAGGTGAAAAACGCGTTTCTTGGAAGTTGGCTGACTTGACGTCTACCCCATGGGCAAGCGCAGGAGCCGGAGCCAGAGCCAGCTGCTCAACTCCCTAACTAAAAAGCAGAAGAAGCATCTAAGGGATTTCGGCGAGGAGCATCCCTTCTATGACAGGTATGGAGAGGCAAGGCTGGGACCGGCGCTGCCGGCGTCCTTTCCCGGTGGGAGTCCGCGTGTCCCCGCGTTTGGTCCGCCGGTGCCCCGGGGATAGTGACAGGGCAGCTCCCGCCGCGTCCCACGCTGCCCCGGCGCCGGCCTAGCTCGCCCGGGGATCCTGGCGGCTTCCCGCCTGAGATGGGGTTCTTCACCGGTCTTTCTACCTTTTGTTTAGCCAGTAGCTTCATGCTAGACGGCACGCCTCCTGTGTGGCGACTGGGCAGAGATTTTATAAGCTTGTTTTCGTTTTATATGTTTTTAAAGAATTGCTTGGGGGCCTCCCTGGTGGCGCAGTGGTTAAGAATCAGCCTGCCAACGCAGGGGACAGGGGTTCGAGCCCTGGTCCGGGAAGATCCCACATGCCGCATAGCAACTAAGCCCGTGCGCGCGCCACAACTATTGAGCCTGCACTCTAGAGCCCGCGAGCCACAACTACTGAGCCAGGGTGCTGCAACTACTGATGCCCGCGAGCCTAGAGCCCCTGCTCCGCAACAAGAGAAGCCACCGCAATGAGAAGCCCGCGCACCGCAACAAAGAGTAACCCCCGCTCGCCACAACTAGAGAAAGCCCGGGCTCAGCAACGAAGACCCATAGCAGTCAAAAATAAATTAATTAAATAAGTTAAAAAAAAAAAAAAAGAATTGCTTGGGACCCTCGACATCACCGATCTATTAAATGACAATGAAGAAACTAATGTTTGGGTAGTTGTGGGTTCCTCTATAAGTGTCCAGACTCTCAGTTATGATCTTAGCGCTCATCCCACCACTTTGAGCTGCTTTATCAACAGTTAGAAGGATAGTCTACTTAAGAAATTTGCTAGAAAAGGTGAACCCCGAGGGCTTTTATTTGCCAAAATTTCCCATCTTTTGGATGAGAGCCTGTTACTGTGTGACTGTAGTATTTGTCATGTGGTCTTGTTAGACTTTTTCATTTGTCTATTATTATCTATTTGGCATATTGTTACAAAACCTGTCCAAATGCATTTGGAGTTTTAACTTGACAATAGATATAATGTATTTATAACGGTATAGCCTGCCATGTTCATTTAAAGTTGTATCATTAGACTTTTCCTAATTGCTACATGCTAGTAGTTAAAGTTTAACATTACCTGTTTCTTCTCAGGGTTTCCAGAAAGGAAGCAAAACCACAGACTTGTCAACTGGTAATGCTTTATACCTTCTTTATGATAGTTGATTCTGGACTGTTACTTTTAAGATTATATATAGTAATAAAGTTTGGCTACATTTCCACTCTTTTTGATTTTAGATGTAAGCTATATTTTAGTAATATTGCTTAGTTTTAAGTGCAGATGTCTGTTAAAATGAACTGTCCTGAGAGATAAGCCTGTTAGAACCTGTTAAGGAAGCTTACCAGAGGGCTCTTGGTGAATCCTAAGAGGGAACGTCTTGTTTGCTTAACATAAAATAGGGTGCAAAATCATCAAAGGTCTTATTTCACTACCACAGACTCAAAAATAAACTACACTTTTTTGTTGTAAGTTTTCCTGTTGCTCCTTTAAAGGTGCCAAATGTCTGACACATTGGTTAGATCGCCTTATAACCTAAAGCTCCATGTGTTTAGTTTGCTGTCTTTCCATGTGGAACATTAGCAGTTCAAAGAAGAGGAAGAGCTTCTAGAATCATAGCTAGATTAGCTGTTTTAAACAAATTTGGTGCTAGATTTGGTTGAATAGATAGGATTACATATTTGCAGAAAAGCTAGTGTTTATTTAGAAAAGTCTGAACTTGGTTCCACTGTGGGCCTGATAGTCGTGGGGTAGCAACAAGAACAATATAATTTTTGTTTTTAAAATCCCCATTTTCCTTTTAGTCAGAGAGTTTAGATACTTCAAGTTCTGAAAGTGAAGCAGAGAATGAACCAGAACAAGTTTCTGGTTACAACAGACTACTTGCCACATTAAAGGATGTTTCCAAGGAAGATGAGGAGGAGGAAGAGGAAGAAGACAGTGTTATAGATGAGACAGAAATGAATCTTGAAGATGGCGATAGTGACATCAGTGTGGAGGAAGAGACGGCAGTAGCGTCTACTGACGTGCAGAAGAGTAAGTGTCTTTGATGTGGGTTTATCATCTTTGTAGGGACCACAGACAGATTGCCCCAGGGGCATGGTGCCTTGTACTGTATGAGCTGGGTGAAAGCACATGGATTCAAAGCAGAGATTCTTAACATTGTTGGGCTCTGTGATATTTTCAAGAATCTGATGAAAACACAGGATCCTCTGGCCATAAAAATGCAGAAATGACATTTTTGCTTATGATTTCCAGGATTTCATCAATCCTAGTTCAAATTCCCCTGATTGAGAGGAAAGGGAACATAATTCTGTTTTTGTAATGGTCTCAATTTATGAAAGAGATTATTGTTCCTCCACTAGAGGAACCAAGTTTAATGGAAGATAGACATAAAATATACAAAACTTTTCAAGCATCAAATTTGAATGGAACCGATAAGTATAAGGTGTTAAAGAGATGCAAAGTGGTCACGTGCTGCCAGGGTAAATGAGGGGAGGCTTCAGAGAAGAGCTGGGATTGAAAGCTTGAAGGAACTCTGTCTCACTCAGACATCTAGGTGACTATTTTTTTTTATTATTATTATTAATTTATTTATTTTTGGCTGCATTGGGTCTTTGTTGCAGTGTGCCAGCTTCTCACTGTGGTGGCTTCTCTTGTTGTGGAGCATGGGCTCTAGGCACGTGGGCTTCAGTAGTTGTGGCACGCGGGCTCAGTAGTTATGGCTCGTGGGCTCTAGAGCTCAGGCTCTGTAGTTGTGGCGCACGGGCTTAGTTGCTCCGCAGCATGTGGGATCTTCCCAGACTAGGGCTCGAGCCCACGTCCCCTGCATTGGCGGGCGAATTCTTAACCACTGCGCCACCAGGGAAGTCCCCATAGGTGACTTTTAAATTTAAATTTAAAATCAACTTTATTGAGGTATGAATTACATTCAACAAGGTGTACCCATTTTAAGTATGTAATTTGATAAGTTTTGACAGATGTGTACATCTGTGTTGTCACCGCCAAAGTCAAGATACAGAACACTTCCAATACCTACAAAAAGTTACTTCTTGTCCTTTTACAGTCAGTTTCCCAGGCCTGGCATCAGGCAACCACTGACATGCTTCCTTTCACTATGTATTAGTGTTTCCTATTCTAGAAATTCATATGAATGGAAGCATACAATAAGTACCCTTTTGCGTGTGGCTTCTTTGGCTCCTCATGTTGTTGTGACTCATCCACATAGTTCATATTAGTAATTCATTTCTTTCTGTTACTAGAATAGTAGTCCATTGTCTGAATATATCTGGGTAACTTTTTATATCCTATTATCTTAATGCCTATTTGCCTTACTGTATTTTTTTCTATACTTTAAGGTGTCACACACCATTCTTAGTATTTTAATTTATCACTTGTACTCGGATAAAAAAATCGTTGCCTCAGACTTAGGGGTTTTTTTGTTTAATTTTGTTGGTTTTCCAGTTTTCTTTCATGTTTTGGGTTTTTAAAAATGAAAAGTTTCATTTTTTTAATTATAAAAGTAATATATATTTACTGTAAAAATTTAAGAGAGTAATATAGTTAACGTATATCTCCTCCACCCTGAGGTGAACACCTTTAACATTTTATAGAACCTTCCAGACTACTTTTTTGTGGATATATGAGTGAATACAAGTATATACATATATTTGTGTGTATGTGCGTAATGGTCTCATACATTTCTGTAACTTACTTTTTTTCTTTAATAATATAACGTGTGTAACTGTGGGTTCACATTAGCTTAATCACATAATATTCCATTGTAAATAATATGTGGTAATTTAATTAGTACCCCATCGATAGAAATGACGAAATCATTTTTTTATAGTTATTTGTTATATCAAAGCTGATTTGAACATCTTTACATGTACCGGGTCAGTAGTCAAGCTCAATTTTGAAACTTACGTCTTCTACCTGAATTTGCTTAAAAGTAAATGATAGCCTAAGGAATTAGATTTCATTTGTCAACAGAAGTGTAATTATATTTATGAGTAGTAAATAATTTCACAAAATGTTTCATCAAAACTGCAGATGCGGCCTTACCTGCTGACCCTAAGAGAAAAGATGGGCATGGGCCACCTGGCACATCAGAGGAATCCCCAGAGGAGTTTACAGATGCAAAACATGAGTCACTCTTCAGCCTAGAAACTAACTTTCTCGAAGAGGAAAGAGAAGGCAACTGTTCTCTGAAAGCATTACAAGGTCACAGCACAGCTCGTGATGTTTGAATTCAGCTGGTACTTAGTATGGGTGGTTGTGGTCTAATACCTGTTAAATCTCCTGTTATTGGAATGGGCAGTAATAGAAACAGATAGTTTAGCAGCTAGATGTAGAGCTGGAAAGAAATGCTTCTCCAAGATCTTTTGTGTTATTCAGGGTTAGGCAGTGTTGGGAGTGGGCGTGGCTGTTCAGGAGAACAAACAGTTGAAGGATGATGGCAGGGAAGGCCATTTCCCCAAAGCTCATGATCCACAGCTGGGGTCAGGGGAAGACTTCTGATTTTTTTCCCCAAGCAGGGAAGGGAGAGAAAGATGAGAAGAGTACTTTGCATTTTTCTCTCTATCCTTCACTTGCTCTTCCTTATTGGAGCAGTAATTTTCCAGATTTGTGAGACCCGGCAGTGGCTAATCTGATTGGTCCTTATTACCAGGAAGCACCTCCGAAGCCAGAAAGCTCCACCCTGTCTCCCCAGTCTCTCTCTTTATTTTTGGCTGCATTGGGTCTTTGTGGCAGTGCGTGGGCTTCTCACTGTGGTGGCTTCTCTTGTTGTGGAGCACAGGCTCTAGGCACGTGGGCTTCAGCAGTTGTGACATGCGGGCTCAGTAATTGTGGCTCGCGGGCTCTAGAGCGCAGGCTCTGTAGTTGTGACGCACAGGCTTAGTTGCTCTGCGGCATGTGGGATCTTCCCAGACTAGGGCTCGAACCCGTGTCCCCTGCATTGGCAGGCGAATTCTTAACCACTGTGCCACTGGGGAAGTCCCCATAGGTGACTTTTTAATTTAACTTTAAAATCAACTTTATTGAGGTATGAATTACATTCAACAAGGTGTGCCCATTTTAAGTATGTAATTCGATAAGTTTTGACAAATATGAGTATCTATATTGTCACCGCCGAAGTCGAGATACAGAACACTCTGGACCGTGCCTCTGCCCCCATGACTGTCACTTAGACAAGCCTGTGGTAGGCTGAGGCAGAGCTCTGCTGTCTCTCAGGTCCTCTGTCTTAGCCTGTGCCTGGGTGGGCAAGTCAGGTTGGTCTCATTCTGTGTCCTGACTGCCTTTTTTGGTCCCAGTGCCATCCTTCAACCAGCTGTGCCATTGAAGTTGAAATTTTAATCCTCCTTTGGTTCTGTTAGCTATTCTAGACAAGAGGAAGAAGTAGCAGGTAGAATTTGGGCACAAACCGCATTCTGAACTCAAAAAAACTTAAAAAAAAAAAAATGCTGGAGGAAACATTAGGAGGCTTGACTATCCTAAAGTTTCTCTGGTTGTTTGGTCTGTACTGATATATTATCACCTAGAATTCTTATTTCCTATTGTTCACCTTTATCTTAGGTCCTAATATAAGGTGCACTGCATTTGAAGTTTTACTACCTGGGTCCTTGAATGGGTCATTTAACTTTGCTTCTTACATGAGTAGGACTGGAAGAGAAGAGCACTGACCCTGAGCAATGACCCTACCATTTTGATCATTTGTTCACCTCAGTTGAGTGTTGAACATTTATATTTGTCTTCCAATGCAGGTTAAATCAGACATGGAACCTGCCCTCAGGGATCTTGCAGTCTAGTTAGGTGAGGTAGGACATGCCCATATATGTGTTGGTGTGGATAACTGAGGGCAGGGTGGGGCACTTGAGAGAAAGTGATGACTTTCTATAGGGGACCAGAGATGGCTTCTTTGGAGCCAGAACTGTGCCTGACACAGTAGGCTCCTGGGAAATAGCTATTTATTGTGATAGCTATAGGGGGTATAGCTATCACAATAGGGGGTAACATTCAACTGATACTATTTGGATATATAGAAATGCAGTGAACGAGAGGATAGAATTTTCAGTTAAAGGAAGGAAAGCCACAGTGGCAGAAGAATTTGAGAGCCATGTAATTCAAAAATTACATTAGAGAGGTAAGTTAGAGGTGTATGTTGAATTTCAGACCGAGAAGTTTCTTCAGAGGCTTTTGAGCTGGGGAATAATGTGATTAAAGAAATGCTTTAGGGAGATGAACCTGTCAGAAACTTTTAAGCTCTGGACTGGGATAGATGATGGGGAAAGTTGATGGGGAAAAAGATGAGTTAACATCATGAAAACAGGATGTCATTCACAGGGGAAGACTGGAAAATCCCTGTCATTTGCTCTAAGTGTTCTAATATTCTTTATTTCTGAATTAGATCCATTTGCACAACATGTAAACAAAGAACTGAAAGAAAAAGACATCCAGGCTGTTGCCACAAATCCCAAAACTACCCACCAGCTAAAAGTAAGCATTGTTCCATCATCACAGTCACAAATGGAGAAAAAACAGTGGTCTTGGGTTTTAGTGGTCTCCCTGAATGTATGATACACACCCGTGGCAGATGGCTTGATAGGGAGCAAGACAGAGGAAGACTAGAAGAGCCCAGTAAGGCACAGACATAGCTAGAAAAGGCACTGGGAAGCTGGAAGGTGGGGACCAATAAGATAAGAATGCTTTGGAGACAGGTACACCAGGGTTTAGACCAACGTCTGCAAGGGGCTATCTCATGACCTAAGGCAAGTTAATCTACCTTTTTAATCTTCACTGTTCTCATCTGTTAGAGGGGGACAGTAATGCCTGCATCAAAATAAAGTAGTTTATTTTACTGGAAGATACGTACAAAGTGTTCAGTCAAACAGTAGCTACTGCTGTTCATTTGTTTGAAATATCTGAGATAAGTGCACACCTAAATTATTCAGTATGGAGCAGTTTTTGCTTCTTTTTTCAGTGATTTTTTTTCTTTCACCACTGATGCTATTCATAAGAATTAGTCATCCTTGTTTCATTGAAATTTTTATTGAGATAATAATTATAGATGCAGTTGTAAGAAATAATACAAAGGTATCCCATGTGCCCTTTGCCCGGTTTCCCCCAGTGGTAGCATCTTACAAAACTGTAGTACAATATCACAAGTAGGAAATTTCCACTGATACAATCTACCTGTCTTATTCAGATTTCCTCACTTTTGCTCCTGCTCCTTTGTGTTATTTAGTTCTGTACTGTTTTATCACGTGTAGGTTGCCCTGGTCACCACCACAGTCAACATACAGAGCATTTCCAGCACCAAAGATCCCTCCTCTTCGCTGGTGCCATTTTATAACCACACCCACCTCCCTTCCCCCATTCCTAACCCTTGGTAACCACTAATCTGTTCTCCATTCCTATAATTTTGTTATTTCAAAAGCGTTGTATAAATAAAATCATACAGGTTGGCTTTTTTCACTCAGCATAATTCCCTGGAGATTCATCCCAGTTGTTGGCATATATCAATAGTTAATTCTTTTTTATTGCAGAGGTCATCCTTTCTTTATTGCTAAGATCAGCAGTTTTGTTACAGTGCAAAAATTCCCAAACTGGTATTCCACAAAATATTATTCTTTACGATTCTAATATATGTCTCAAAAAAAAAAAAAATCCAAACCAACAACAAAAACCTTGTTCCATGTCCAAGTAAATTTGGAAAACTCTGGGTCAGACGAAGTGGAACAGAGTCCTTGTTACAGGACTCAGCAGAATCTTTAGTGTCTGATCTGCATGTGACTCTCCCTGAGGGAGTTTAGGTTTTGTGGTGTTTACCAAAGTTATTTGACTGTCGGGCCCCCTTTTCTTTTGTCTAGAGTAAATTTTGACTTCCTACAGTGTGGTCCACAGGACAGGTTGTGACCCACTGATCTAGTGAAGAGCTCACCAGGTTTCTAAAGTCAGAAACCTTGGGCTCTAACCCTTAGCTCTGTTCTCCCCTGTTTGTCTGAATCCTATAACCTCTGAATCTCAGCATTTCCTAAACTGCAAGAAGAGCATTATAGTGTTTACCTTGTAAGGTTGTTGTGAGGATAAAGTGAGAGGATCTGTAAGTTGTGAAAGGTCTTGGTAAATTATAAAGCACTATATGAATGTAAGATACTGTAATTCATTTCTAACTTACTTCTTGATCATTTCTCCCACAGTGGCCCATCCTGGGCCAGCTTGTCTTTTCATCCAGGTTTCAACAGTTGGAAACCTTTAAACCCCCAAAGGACATTGACTTAAAGTCACTTCATCTCCAGAAGCCTCTGGAATCCACCTGGATCAAGACCAACAGCCAGTTCCTCTCTGGCCCCCCAAATTCAAGTAGCCCCTTCACACCCCTCCAGAAAGAGCTCTTCTTAATTATGAATTCTTACCGGGACCTATTCTACCCAGAAAGGACTGCCCTGAAGAATGGGGAAGAGATCCGCCAAGTGTACTGCCTGCATGTGATAAATCACGTCCTCAAAGCCAATGCCCAGGTGCTTGCCAACAACAGCAGATGCCGAAGCCAGAAACTTGGGGTGGGTGATGATGATGACTTCAGGGACCAAGGGCTAACGAGGCCCAAGGTGAGTGGCAGCAGCAGAACTTTGCCCTCAAGGAGGCTGTAAGGCACTAACATACAGGTCCTGGCACTTAGCAGGCTCTCAGATGTTTTAATGATCGGAATAATGAATGAGTCCAAGAATGAGCGTATTAGATGGGCCAGGTAATGTCAGAGCAGTGCTGCAGACAGCTCAGTGGACTGTCTCTAACAGCAGATCTAACTGGAAACTGGAGTAGGAGGTACCTCCATGATAATTCTCTCCTTAAAGATAAACCCTGATCCTACATAAGTAACACTCCACTATAAATCTCTTCTTTGTGATTGTCAGAGATGGATGGGACCTTAAGGAGCCTTTTATTCAATCCCTACATATTACACCTGTGGACAGAGACCCAGATTCATAGAGGACCTTGCTAAAGAGAACCAGGGAAAAAGTAGCAGAGACAGGACTAGAACCAAGGACTCTCTTCACTAAGCCACATAAATATGTAAACCTTGGAAAACAAAATCCCTATTTTTGCTTTGTATCATTATTGCTGCTCAAAGTGATGGTTACATTTATGTGGGCTCATAAGCCTAAGCTCCAGTGGACTGGGGGCTTACATCTTTTAATTCTGTCTACATTTTTCATGATGTCCTGGAGCTAGATACTGTGCCGCCCATACCCCCTTACCCCTTAGCCTCTGTGTCTATATTGAAGAAGCCTCATCTTCTTAGATTCTTCTCATTGAGCTTAATAGGATTTTAATACTGATATGGCTCTTAGAGATTTCTTAGTCCAACCCTCTTGTTTGATAGTTGGGGAAACCAAAGCCTAGACACTTACTTAGTGTGACAGCCGGGACAGTAACTTGGCCCTCTTCAAAACTGATCCATCATCCCTGCACTGTACCAAACTGAATCAGTACACCCCTCTGGCTGTGCTGGTTGCCTTTCTGGGAAACTACCTCAGAATCTTGAACATCAGGATAATAAGATTATCTGTTTCCATTTAGAATTGCAAAGTAGTATATGAGGTAGATTACCCATGAATCACATTCAGAATTTGGTGAATTGCCTGATCTGACTGGGGTTATATCCATTGACTGTATTGTTTACACAGCGGTAGTTAGAAGTTAATCATTTGTTAAGCATCTTCTGGTTTTTTTCCTCAACAGTTAAAATTAAGCACTTTTGGAAATGTTTGGAAAACTGAATCCTATATTTCCCATTGAAATATGATCTTATTTCAGAAATCCTTTATCATCATTTCTGAAAAATGTACTAGGAGATGTACTAGAAAAGTGATTTTAGTCCTTTCCTTACTAGCTTTATTCTCTACTTAATACATCTAATTCATTTGTTCAGCATATTCCTTGGGTCTTACGGATCAAAATACTGAACTAAGTTCTGTGGGAGACAGAAATGAGTAACATTTCTTGTCCTGAAAGAGCTTTGTGTGTTTATGCCCTTGGGTTTTTGCTAATGGACACCTCTGTTAAAGGCATTGACTTAACCTCAAAAAGTATTTCTACGTTCTGCTTAAGAATTGCCCCCCCACAAGGAGCCATGAGATTGAGGTCCATAGGACATGGTGCTGTGGGTCGGAAAGATGCTCAGCCTTCAGTACTGAGCCAGGTCCTGTGTAAAGAGGGTGACACGGATGTGGTCCTTGGCCAGGGGCTGCGGAACAGAGGGCTCCTTAGGTCCTCAGCAGGCTTACCTTGAGCTGTCCTTCCTTCCCCTTGCCCGTCCAAGGCTGCCCATCACTCCCTCCACAGGTGCTGATAGTGGTGCCATTCCGGGAAGCTGCTTTGCGGGTGGTACAGCTCTTCATCAGTCTTCTTGAGGGCGACAGCAAGAAGAAAATAATTGTAAGCAACAAAAAGAGGTTTAATGGAGAGTATGGCTCAGATCCTGAGGAGAGACCACCCAACCTGAAGAGGCCTGAGGATTATGAAGCTGTATTTGTCGGCAACATCGATGACCACTTCAGGACTGGTAATTCCTCCTTGTCAAAACTGAGACCCTGAGGTGTGAGGTGCACATAGCTGGAAGCTAGAAGCCTGGAATTAGGCATTCTTTCAGAGGGTCACTGACTCAGCCTCCTAGCAGAACCAGGATGCATTTGAGACGACTCGTCTGCCAGGAGAGAGTCTTGCCTTGGCTAATGGGGTACATACGTGGCTAATGGGATGGAGTGTCTGTGAAGGCATGTATGAAAGGCATATGCATGTTTATAACAAATGTCTCAGCATGCCTATAGCTGGTAGCTCACAGTCAATGCTACAGGGGTTCTTGGGGGAGTTGGAGGTGATGGGGCTGGGTGGGTCAGTCTGGGGAAGATGAATAAACTAGAGCATCTGTACATAATGGACTTACCTCCTGCCTGCCATGTGGAGTGCCCACACCTGAATTATCTCCACTCTGGACTTACTGACTCCCACCCAGCTTTGCACATTTTTGCTTGTCTGTCATTCAGCTCCCATGTACTTGACTGGCTGTACATTGAAAAAGTTCCTGGAAAATATTTTTAGTCACGTATGCCCATTTACCAATTATTAAGCATCTACTATGTGCCAGGCACTGTTAAGAAGCTGGAGATAAGAAATTAAAAGTTACTGTTAAACAAGTCCAGCCTTAAGACAAATCAGACAGTATGGGATGAGATGTGTTATGGTTAGAGGATAGTGGGTGTTCTATTTAAAGTATTTAAAGCAAATATCCGTACTCAAAATGGGCACAGGACTGTTAGGGAAGGCCTTCTGTTGGAGGTACCATCCATACTGAGTTGAAACCTGAGTAGGATTTAGCCAGGTACAAAGTGGGGTAATGAGAGTGGGAGAAAAAGTTTCAGACAGGAAACTGCATGTGTGGAGGCATCAGGGCGAATAAACCAAATAGACCTAAGATTCAGAGGCTGTAGCATGGCTGGAGTGTGCAGTGCAAGGGGATGAGAGCTTATGGTTAGTTTTGAACATATGCAGGTGGCTAACAAACAGCTGATAAATGTCTTTTGTTTAATTGATATATAATTGAAGTATTAGCTTCAGGTGTACAACATAGTGATTCAATGTCTATACCTTACAAACTTATCACAGCAGCAAGTATAGTTACCATTTGTCACCATACAAAGTTAATGCAATATTATTGACTATATTCCCCATGGCATACATTGGATCCCTGTGACCTGTTCACTTTATAACTGGAAGTTTTATACCTCCTGATCTCCCCCATCCATTTTGCCCACCCTCCAACCCCGCCCTCCCTTCTAGCAACCACCAGTCTGTTCTCTGTATCTATCAGTCTGGTTTTTTGTTTGTTTTGTTTTTTAGATTCCACATCTAAGTGAAATCACATGCTATTGATATTTGTCTTTGTCTGACTTATTTCACTTACTGTGATACCCTCAGGGTCTATCCTTGTTGTCACAGATGGCAAGATTTCATTCATTTATGGCTGAGTAATAGTCCATTGTGCGTGTGTGTGTGTGCGCACCACATCTTTATCCATTCATCATCTGTGGACACTTACGCTGCTTCCCTATTCCATATCTTGGCTATTATAAATGTTGCAGTGAACGTAGGAGTGCATATATCTTTTTGAATTAGTGTTTTTTTTTTCCTTTGGATAAACACCCAGAAGTTGAATTGCTCAATTGTGTGGTGGTTTTTTTTTTAATTTTTGAAGAACATCCATACTGTTTTCCATGGTGGCTGCACCAATTTACATTTCCACTAACAATGCACAAGGGTTCCCTTTTCTCCACATCTTTGCCAGCATTTGTTATTTCTTGTCTTTTTGATAAGACCTATTCTGACAGGTTTGAGGTGATATCTCATTGTGGTTTTTTTTCTCTCTATGCTTTGGTTAATAGCAGCTCAAAGTACGTGGTGGCTGTAAGAATTTATAACTCCAAAATCACAGCCTATCATTTTATATTATTTCATTTTGATCACAGCACTTACTAGCCACCTGATACATTCTTCTTCTTTTTTTTTTTTAATTGGAGTAGGTATAGTTGATTTACGATGTTGTGCTAATTTCTGCTGTATGGCAGTGACTCAGTTATACACATATATACATCCTTTTTTATATTCTTTTGCATTATGGCATATCCCAGGAGATTGGATATAGTTCCCTGTGCTATACAGTAGGACCTTGTTGTTTACCCATTCTAAATGTAATAGTTTGCATCAACTAACCCCAGACTGTCAGTCCATCTCTCTCTCCTCACCCCTGACCTTGGCAACCACAGGTCTGTGAGTCTGTTTCTATTTTGTAGATAGGTTCATTTGTGCCATATTTTAGATTTCATATATAAGTGATATCATATGGTATTTGTCTTTCTCTTTCTGACTGACTCCTCTTAGTAGATAATCTGTAGTTGCATCCATGTTGCTGCCAAATGGCATTATTTTGTTCTTTTTTATGGCTGAATAGTATTCCATTGTATATATGTATCACATCTTTATCCATTCATCTGTCAATGGACATTTAGGTTGTTTCCATGTCTTGGCTATTGTGAATAGTGCTGCTATGAACATAGGGGTGCATGTATCTTTTTGAATTATAGTTTTGTACAGATATATGCCCAGGAGTGGGATTGCTGGATCGTATGGTAATTATATTTTTAGTTTTCCGAGGAACCTCCATACTGTTTTCCATAGTGACTGCACCAACTTACATTCCCACCAACAGTGTAGGAGGGTTCGCTTCTCTACACACCCTCTCCAGCATTTGTTATTTGTAGACATTTTAATGATGGCCATTTTGACCAGTGTGAGATGGTACCTCATTGTAGTTTTGATTTCTCAGTGTGATTTTGATTTGCATTTCCCTGATGATTAGTGATGTTGAGCATCTCTACATTTGACTGTTGGCTATCAGTACAACTTCTTTGGAAAAATGTCTGTTCAGGTCCCCTGCTATTTTTTAATTGGATTGTTTGGGTTTTTTTTGTTTTTTTTTTTTTAGCAGTATGCGGGCCTCTCACTGTTGTGGCCTCTCCCATTGCGGAGCACAGGCTCCGGACGCGCAGGCTCAGCAGCCATGGCTCATGGGCCTAGCCGCTCTGCAGCATGTGGGATCTTCCTGGACCGGGACACAAACCCGTGTCCCCTGCATTGGCAGGCGGACTCTGAACCACTGCACCACCAAGGAAGCCCTTTAATCCATTTTGAGTTGATTTTTGTAGATGGTGTAAGCTAGTGGTTCAGTTTCATTCTTTTGCATATAGCTGTCTAGTTTTCCCATCATCATTTGTTGATGAGACTGTCTTTTCCACATTGTATATTCTTGCCTCCTTTGTCATAGATTAATTGACCATATAAATATGGATTTATTTCTGGGCTCTCTATTCTGTTCTGTTGAACTGTGTCTGTTTTTGTGCTATTACCATACAATTTTGATTACTGTAGACTTGTAGTGTAGTTTAAAATCAGGTAGTGTTATACCTTCAGCTTTGTTCTTCTTTCTCATAATCAGTTTGGCTATTCAGGGTCCTTTGCAGCTCTCTACAAATTATAGGATTATTCTAGTTTTATGAAAAATGTCATGGGTATTTTGATAAGGATTGCATTAAATCTGTAGATTTCTTTGGGTAGTATGGACTTTTTTTTTTGAATTTTTGAATTTTATTTATTTTTTTATACAGCAGGTTCTTACTGTCCATTTAATACATATTAGTATATACATGTCAGTCCCAATCTCCCAATTCATCACACCCCCACCCCCACCACCACTTTCCCCCCTTGGTGTCCAGTATGGACATTTTAACAGTACTAAATCTTCCACTCTGTGAGCATGGTGTATTTTTGCATGTTTGTGTCATCTTTAATTTCTTTCATCAATACCTTGTAGTTTTCCAAGTACAAGTTTTTTACCTTCTTGGTTAGATTTTTTCTAGGTATTTTATTCTTTTTGATGCTATTGTAAATGGATTGTTTTCTTAATTTCTCTTTCTAATAGTTCATTATTAATGTATATAAATGCAACAGATTTTTGTTAATTTTGTATCCTGCAACATTACTAAATTTATTTATTAGTTCTGACAGTTTTTTGGTGGAGTCTTTAGGGTTTTCTCCATAAAGTATCATGTCATCTGAAAACAGTCAGTTTTACTTCCTCCTTTCCAATTTGGGTATCTTTTATTTCTTTTTCTTGCCTAGTTGCTCTAGCTAGGATTTCTAATACTATGTTGAATAAAAGTGGCAGAAGTGTGCATCCTTGTCTTGTTCCTGATTTTAGAGGAAATGCTTTCAGCTTTTCACCACTGAATATGATGTTAGCTGTGGGTTTGTCGTATATGCCTTTGTTATGTTGAGATACATTCCCTCTATACCCACTTTGTCAACCCATCCTTGCATCCCTGGAATAAATTCTACTTGATTATAGTGTATGGTCCTTTTAATGTATTGTTGGATTCAGTTTGCTAATAATTTGTCAAGGATTTTTGCATCTATGTTTATCAGGCATAGTAGCCTGTACATTTCTTTTTTTGTGGTGTTTCTGTCTGGTTTCAGTATCAGGGTTATGCTGGCCTCATAAAATGAGTTTGGAAGTGTTTCCGCCTCTTCAGTTTTTTGGAATATGTTTGAGAAGGATAGGTATTAAATCTTTAAATATTTCGTAGAATTTACCAGTGAAGCTCTCTGGTCCTGGTCTTTTGTTTTTGGGGAGTTTTTTGATTACTGATTCAATCACATTACTAGTAATTGATCTATTCACATTTTCTGTTTCTTCATGATTCAGTTTTAGAAGATTGTGTGTTTCTAGGAATTTATGTATTTCTTGTAGGTTATCTGACTTGGTGTATAATTGTTCATAGTAGTCTCTTATGATACTTTGTATTTCTGTAGTGTCAGTTATAACTTCTCTTTCATTTCTTATTTTATTTGGGCCCCTTCTCTTTTTTTCTTATTGAGTCTGGCTAAAGGTTTGTTAATTTTGTTTATCTTTTCACAGAACCAGCTCTTAGTTTCATTGATCTTTTTTTTTTTGTCTCCGTTTCATTTATTCAGTATTTCTCATCTGGCTTTTATTATTTCCTTCCTTCTTTGTTGGAAGTTTTTTTTTCCTTTCAGCATATTCGAACATATCATGCCATCTCCTTCTGGACCACAAAGTTTCTGATGAAAAATCAGCTGATATTCTTATGGGGATTCCCTTGTCTGTAATTAGTTGTTTTTGTCTTGCTGTTTAAGATTCCCTCTTTACCTTTGACTTTTGACATTTTAATTATAATGTGTCTTGATATGAATCTCCTTGGGTTCATTTTGTTTGGGACTCTTGGTGCTTGCTGGACCTGAATGTCTGTTTCCTTCACCACGTTAGGGACATTTTTAGCCATGATTTCTTCAGATAAGTTTTCTGCCCCTTTCTTTCTCTCTGTCCTCCTTCTGGGACCCCTATAATGTGGATGTTAGTACCCCTTTCTCTCTCTTCTTCTGCGACCCCTTAACACCGATGATAGTACACTTGTTGTTGTCCCACAGTTCCCTTAAACTGTCCTCATATTTTTAAAATATTTTTTCTCTTTGCTGTTCTGTTGGGGTGATTTCTACTACCTTGTCTGCCAGGTCACTGATCTGTTCTTTTCTACCATCTAGTCTGCTGTTGATTCCCTCTAGTGTATTTTTCAGTTCAATTATTATAATCTTCAGCTGTGTGAGTTCTGTTTCGAACTTTCTTATATTTTCTGTCTCTTTCTTGAGTTTCTCACCGTGTTCGTTCATTCATCTCCCAAGTTTGGTGAGCAACTTTCTGACAATGACTTTGAATTCTTTATCATTAAATATTTTTTCTGGGGTTTTATCTTGTTCCTTCATTTGGAACATGTGCCTCTGCTTTCTCACTTTGCTTGACTCTCTGTGTTTGTTTCTATGTATTATGCAAAACAGTTATTGCCCCCTGTCTTGAAGGAGTGGCCCTGTGTGGGAGATGAACTGTGTTTTTAACTTTTTCCTAGTTCTTGGTTGTCTTATAAACTCTCTCTCTCTGTTTGTTTCACTCCCATGGAGTCTAGAAATGCAGTCCCACCCCCATCTGCCTGAGCCTGGTGCTCAAGGAGTGTCCCCTGTGTGGGCTGCATGCGTTTGTTGCCTCAGGTCGTGCCCTGCAAGTGGCATGAGATGGGGTAGGCGTGGCTGCTGGTCGGCCATGTTTGTCAGTGCTGCACACAAGCAGTGCAGGGGAGTGGGGTAGGGGGTACTGGGGTACTCACCCACCACCACTGTTAGCAAATTAGAGTGCGAGTACAAAAACCGGCACCCGCCCGTGCCATCAAGGTAGAGGGAATTTGTAAAGATGGCATCTGCCAGCATTCTGTCCCCAGAGAGAGTCCCAGCCAACTTCTGCCCCTCTGGTAGATGCTTTACGATTAGCAAGTGAATCTCCTTCACGTATGATCTGGGCTCTCTACAAACTGCTACTTGTTGCTTAGGAAAGAGATGTGGGCAGGAAATATAAATTTTTGTGATGATAATGTTAAAGCCGTAATTAGTGAATATATTTATGCAGAGCTTTATGTAGAGTGAAAGAGAACTTGTGGGTGAATCCAGGGATTTGTAGAAGAGCTCTTTGAATATGGAAAAATAGATAAGGACCAGGTCAGTAATAGGAGAAGTAAGTGTTAAAGTCGTGGAAACCACCGGTAAGGAAAAGAACATTTCAAGGAGGGTGTGCTTATGCGTTCGTGGCAAGAAACACTAAAGTACCATTGAATTGGTAACTGAGAGCTGTTGGTGACCTTAGCAAGAGTCATTTCAGTCGTGTCCGGAGACTCAGAGGCAGATTGCAGTGCATTAAGGAGTGAGTGGGAGATTTTAAAGTAGAGACAATTTTCTGGAAGGTTTGCCCGTGAAGGAAAAGAAGAGGGTGGGAGCTAGGAGGGGCCATAGATGCAAAGGAGGGATGATAATGATGATTTTAATAATTAAAGCAGTTCGAGCACAATTATATGCAAAGGGGAAGATGTGGAAGGTACAAGGGGAGGCTGCAGTTTGAGAGGGTGGAAACTAATGGCTTGGTGGTGACTCATGAACTGATGTGTGCTTGGCTGTTTTGTGTATAGGAGTGGCAATACTGCAGAGAAGCATCCGACTTTATGCCCCCTTCTATTCGTCAGACATCCTCATTGCCTCCCCTCTGGGCTTGAGGACCATCATTGGTGGAGAAGGAGAGAAGAAGAGAGATTTTGACTTTCTGTCTTCTATTGAGCTTCTCATCATTGATCAAGCTGACATTTACCTGATGCAGAACTGGGAGCATGTCTTGGTAATGCTGGTCATTAACATTTAGAGACAAGAAGCTCAGTGGTTTGAGTCTGAAATGGTTATTAAAGTCCAGATTAAAACTCAGCTTGGAAATGGAAATATTCCACATTTTCCAATTTGAAAATGGGAAATGTTGTCCCCTCTTCTACCCACAAGTTGGTCAGTAAAGTATCCAGAAAGATAAAAATTCTTGTCAACATTTTCAAATCTCCAGAAAAGATTTCTTCCCCTTAAAAGTTGCTTCTAGTAATAGACCAGTTTAGTGTGGTTGGTTGGTTGGTTGGTTGGTTGAAATTCCTCCTCACCAGGAATGTTTTTATCTAAAATGGTTCCTCCTATTTATGCTCGTTCTCTTTTGTTTGGTCTTCTCTTCAGTGGAGATGGGAAAACATTGCTCATGGTTTCTTAATTTGTGATGCTTTGCAGAGAAATGTAAGATGTTTTTGTCCCCCTACGGTAATTTGTGCTATAATTTTTTTTCTCCCTCTCAACATACCCTGCAATGTTTTGGGGTTTAGGATTGTGCTTTGGAGCAATCCTCATCACAGAACTATAGGTTTATTTTTCTAAGGCATGTGAGAATTTACCTTTTCTACAACCCCAGAACTTGGAGTAAGTTTGGGACAAATAAAGCGGAGTACTTATTTATAAAATAGGGAATAATCTTACAGTACTTGTGACCCTTCAATATACATTACAAGGTAAAAATATGATTAAAATAGAAAAGGCATGTCGATGGTTGAGTCATCTTTATTTTGAGCAAAAGGCACATGTAGTCACTCAGGGAATTTTCTAACGTTGTTGGGAACCAAGTCATGGTAGGACAGCAGCTCTGTTTTCCATATCATTTCCCTTCTTGTCCAAATCTGGAACTGAGTTGCTTATAGAGTGACCAGAGTGGCATTTCAGAATTTCCTTTAAAAGAAATGTTCTGTATAGGTAGCATCTTGATCCTTTTTGAAAGATCCACGAGGTGGCCAGTTTGAGCTTTTCTTCTTGTTCACTTGACTATGGGCAAGTCACTCAGCCATCTGAGCCTGTTTTCTTGTAATTTGGGAGATGATAGTATGTACTTCATGGGGTTAAATAAGATGATGGGCTTATAGAAAGGTTAGCAATACGCAACAGGTAAGTGTTCAATAAGTATTAATGGAGTATTATTTCTGCTCAAAGCATTTGATGAACCACATGAACCTACTGCCCTTGGACTCACATGGGGTGGACTTTTCTCGAGTGCGCATGTGGAGCCTCAATAATTGGTCCAAGTACTATCGTCAGACGCTGCTGTTTGGGGCCCTGCAGGATGCCCAGATCAACTCTGTATTCAACAAGTACTGCGTCAATGTGCAAGGCCAGGTGGGTTCTCTCCTTCTTTCTCCGAATTTTCATGAAGTACTGTGTATTGTTTGGGTCATGAGGCAGAAGGAGAGGATAGCATTTGGTCAACAATGGGGATAGCTCACTTCCTAATGTTCTCACTGACTCCTGGCAGGTGGCTGTGAGGAACGTCCCGGTGACAGGCTGCATCAGTCATGTCCTGGTGCAGCTCCCACATGTCTTCCAGAGGATGGAAGCTGAAAACCTAGCTTCAGTGATTGATGCCAGGTACCCTCCCCTGTCCCGTTGGACCCCTGGGGGTCACAGAGAGGGATTTTACTTGGGCATTCAAATTTAGAATTGTATTCCATGTTGGCTTTATTAGTTAACCATTTACAAAATGAAATGAGATAGTTGAATCCAGTCATGCCATTGACAGAGGAGGACACTGAAGGCCAGAGAAGTGGTGTCTTGTCCTAGTTCCGATAGTGGCAGGGTTAGTAAATCAGGGGTACTTTCCCCTAGACTGTGGCATTTTAAAATTACATTAATTTTTTAATGCCGCATGTCAACAACTTAATTCTAAGCCCTTCAGGGCAAGAACTGTTTTTCTAATTCTCTATGTAATTTTCCCCTGTCTTCTCATTGTGTTTAGTCAGGGGACCCATGGTAGCAGAATGGTGCTTAACACATGGTAGGTGTTCAGTAATTATTTGTTGACTGACTGATTGACACCTGAATGAATGAATGATACAGTTATGTACTTCCTAGAGTAATTCTCTGGGATATACCAGCATCACATCTATTCTTCATGATGAATAGTGTTAGCACTTGCTTTTTAATGCGCTTAACAAGTTTTTTCCTTACATAATCTCTTTGCAATGAGGTAGGCCAAGTTGGCCTCTTAGGGGAGGTAGAAGGAGATTGTGACTTGCCCAGGGTCATGCAGTTGGCAGTGGCACTATGGCTCACCTCTAGACCACTGACTTTGCCCTTTGCCTTTCCAAATCAGGTTTAACTTTTTCGTCAACAAGATTTTGCCTCAGTATCGTGATGCAGTCATGTCTCACACGCTTATCTATGTCCCCTCCTACTTTGACTTTGTGCGTCTCCGAAATTACTTCAAGAAGGAGGACCTGAACTTCACTCATATCTGCGAGTACACCCAGAAGTCTGGTGTCTCCAGGGCCAGACACTTCTTCCTTCAAGGAGAGAAGCAGTTCCTGCTCCTCACAGAGCGCTTCCATTTCTACAAAAGGTAAAGTAGGGCCAGGCTTCAAGTGTCCTCTCTGGAGGGCCTGCTTCCAAGTGCATGGTGGGCTTTGCTGTGTTATAAAGTCCTCCCTTGCTTCACCTCCTGCAGACAAGCCAGAGTCTGGGGGGCTGGACAGACTTTTCTTGATTGGTTGGTTGGTTTTCTTCCAAAATGGGCATTGTCGGAAAAGGTGGTAGAAACGAATGAGTGACTACAGCATAACCTGTATATAGATCTGGAGTGGGTCCATACTTAGGGTACCTCCTGTAGCTGTGGGTATACCCCTCAAGAAAGACATTACAGAGTTGAGCAGCTCTCAGCTGAATACAGGAAAGGGAGGAACCTGTCACAGAAGCACAGATGAAACATTGGGGACTGTGTGGTCTGTGGAGATGGAAGTTGAGTACAGTGTCAGTGTTCAGAAAGTTCTCATTTGTCCTGAGGCAGTGTACACACAACTTCTGCACCAAGGAGAACCAGGACTAAGGGGCTCCTTGAAGTTTATGAGAAGCAAAAGGTGAGGGGCTTAGAGTTGAATATTTAAGGGCTTCAGGGTTTGCTTAGCTTCCCCACCATGTGACTTTGACAAAATAAGTTGTATTGACCCTTTTTTTTCTTTTTCTTTTTTTTAATTCTAATTAGAGTGTTAGTAATATTGATCCTTCTGTTACTATTTGGATTAGTTGCAGCCCTTTCTGCCCCCAGAGTTTGGTTATTTTATTGTTTTGCTAATTCTCTCTGCTGCCAAATGTAAAAGCCCCTTCTAAGCTCTTACCTAGAGAGACTGGAAATTGCATCCTATAACCTTTTCTTTCCTGATTCACAATAATGTCCAGTGAGTTTAAGTTCTGACTTTACTGTTTTATTAATTCTCAATTATAAGCTAATGAGGGGCACGTTTCCTCAGAGAATCCCTAACATCTAAGCCTGAATCTTCTAGGCTTTGGAACATATTAGATGATGCACCTTGGCGTTGCATTGCCTTTTAGTTTATGCCGATATTAGGATGGTGTCCCTCCGAAATGTTCTCCTTACCAGGATGGGGAGGGAGGGATCCAGCAGCCTGCTGGAGCGCAGCAAGCTGGCGTGACATGACTTCTTTGGGTATTCTGCTGCCTAGATGATCTGCTAGTGGAGAGTTGAGGAGTGACTACATTTGTGTTTGCTGGGCTTCATTCTTGGCTACCCAGACAAGGCTGTTTGGCCCAAGAGTGTTAACGAATACCTTCTTGCTGGCATCATTATTTGCTTTGTTTCAGTGAGTCGTTGTTTTCATTCATGTTGGAAATGGTATTTTGGGGGAGTTTGCACTCAGCAGGTCTAAAGAGCCCTTAGTTTTCCAAAAGCTTGATACATCAAAGCAAGTCCCTTAAATGAAGTGGATGGATTGGGAGACTTCCCTGTAGCAAGTGTGAACTAAGCTGGGATGAGGACTGCTCTCAAGTAGCAGCTTTTCAAGGAGAGGGCATGATGTCAAAGGAGCCCTTTCTCTTAAGTAGGCAGGACAGTCTCCTGTCTTACACTGTTCATTTATTGACCAAACTGTTTTGTCCCCAAAGTCACTATAAAGACAAACCGAACACGTGCCATTAGCTTTATACCCTGGACCAGGTTAGTGGGTGTTTAAGTTGAATGGAGATAATCTGCAACTGCCAATTATCTCAAGGTTCCCAGCTATAGATTTTTTTGCTTGAGAGGTCACCAAGGTGATGATGGGTATTTTGATCTGCAGTGTCTTTGTGATTTGATTTTTTTCATTTTACCTTGGGAAAAGTACATGTATTTTAAACTTTAGTATCCAGCTTTAAAATTCTGTATTTATATTCTCTATGGAAGTAGGCAGTGTTAGACATATTGCAGTTCGTTTGTGAGCTAGCAAAAAACTTTCAACCTGAGGATTTGTTTTCTTTGGGGAAATGAAACCAGTAGATTCTTAGGATGGGATGGGCATTTGGTCATGATGGCCCTCCTGAGGGGAGGACAGTTCACAGTTCTTTCTCTGAGCATTATCAGTGGGTTAGCACAGGAAGGAGGATTCTTAAGCAGGGGGCAATCAGAAACTCTGGAGGTAGGATTTCTGGAGGTGGGAAACGCTAATGGGGTGTTTCTGAGTGTTCCCTGCCCCAGGGAGAACCCCAGTTGTAGAAGTAACAGACCTAGTCTTTATAGACTGTATGCAGGAGCCAGCCTTGCGAGTCAGTTGTGGGTGCCTCATTTATCTTTAACAGTTGTCAGGTAACATAGACATCTGGAATGTCCTTAGTTTTAGGTCCTGTCACAGTGTTATGCCATATTTGTAGGGGTCACTGAAGACCCAAAGCACATACAGGAGAGGAGGAAGGCAGGGGAAGAGGTGCAGAAGATCATGGGAATTGGTACTAACTGCCCCTCTGAAGGGGTTCTGGTCACATTCTCTTATTTCCAGGAGATGCCTAGTCTCTACTGTGGACGAATTGGTACTAAGAGAGATTTTCTTGGTTTTTAAATATAATACCTATTGGAATTGGTTTTGTTGTTTTATTTTGCTTTAAAAATACTCTCATTATAAGAGTATTACACAATTATTGTAGAGAACCTAGAAAATCTAGGTTAAAAAAATGGGATCACCGGGCTTCCCTGGTGGCACAGTGGTTGAGAGTCTGCCTGCCGATGCAGGGGACACGGGTTCGTGCCCCTGTCCGGGAAGATCCCACATGCCGCAGAGCGGCTGGGTGTGTGTGTGTGTGTGTGTGTGTGTGTGTGTGTGTGTGTGTGTGTGTGTAGGGCAGGGAGGGGACTGTATTCGTTTGCTAGGGCTGCTATAACAAAGTACCACAGACTGGGTGGCTTCACCAACATAAATGTATTTTCTCACAGTTCTGAAGGCTAGAAGTGTGAGAACAAGGTGTTGACGCGGTTGGTTTCTTCTGAGGCCTCTCTCCTTGGCTTGCAGATGGCTTTCTCCTCCCTGTGTCCTCATATGGTCTTCCCTCTGCGTGTCCTGATGTTCAAATCTCCTCTTCTTATGAGCACACCGGTCATACTGGATTAGGGCCCACCCTATGCACCTCAATTATCTCTTTAAAGAACTTATCTCCAAATACAGTCACCTTCTGAGGTACTGGGGATTAGGAGGTCAACGTATGAACGTTGTGGGGAGGTTAGGGGGACATAATTCAGCCCATAACAGGGGGTAAGGGAGGGATGTATGTTCCCCCTGGGAGGGGAGACCCCTTTAGTCCTATTGGCCTTTAGAGGTAAAGGGCCATGTACTAGACTGAGAGGAGGTGCGGAGTATAGAAGTGCCTGGCCAGACAGGGGAGAGAGGTAATGAAAGAAGAAAAGGAGAGCTTAGAAGCTTTCCTTCAAATGGGCCCCTGCTATGATATCCTGAGCCATTTGATACAAAACCTCAAGGTACACAGAAGACTTTGGGGTCCAGTCTGATTCTTCCTTCTCCTATTACAGAGAAAGAGGAAAAGATCCTTTTCTTTCCAAGCATCTGTCATCTCTCCCTCTCTCTACCTCCTGAAAGAGCTCAATTCCACAAACACTGTTTATTCTAGGCAGTAGGCTGGGAATACGGAACAAAACTCTTTGCATGCTGTATTCTGGCCCAAGCTGTATTCTGGCTAACTCATCCCATTTGCTCCAGGGCCAGCTTAATGAAGACAAATTGAAGGGCAAACTGAGATCTTTGGAAAACCAGCTGTACACCTGTACCCAGGTAAGCATTCCGGAGGACACTTCTAGCCCAGGAATCTAGAATTAAGGGAGAGAATGCTTGAACGTCAAGCTTACTCTCTAGAAACATCACCTGCTAGAGATTAATGCACCCATCCCTACTCACCCAGTTCTGGCCTTTACCATTTTCACTTCGGTCTCCAATTCACCAAAACACTATCTCCATCCCCCTCTCCCTTTCTCCTGGTGTCCTTCACTTTGTACCCTAGGAAATGAAGCCCAGCACTAAGCGCTTTGCCAGCTCCAGGGGAACCTTGAGAATACCTGGAAACGTAGGGAGAGGCCCTTGGTAAAGATTCAGCTCACCTGGATAGAACTTCACAGGCCCTAATATTTGAACAGATGAGTTGGATATTACAATGAAGTCTCGTAAAATGATTTTCATGCCATGGGCAACTTTTATCTAGCAGCAATCCCTGGGAGAAAGTAAAAGACTGTGACTCCTGGCTTTCTGTGGCATTGTTATCCAGCTCCGGTAATCTCTTGATTGGCCTGATCTTGGATTATATGAGATAGAAAAAAGTCAGTTTTCACACTCAAGAAGTGATAGATTTCTGACAGGCAGGGAGATAAGTCAAGAGAACGAGGTGAACCGGCCAGACTGCTCCCACTTGATGTTAGGAAGATAAGGTGGCCATGTAGTTAGAATTTTGCAGGGGAACATATAGTCTATAGTCTATATAGTCTATGGGTTTGCGGATCCACAACTTTTATTTTTTCAGTAATGCCAACCAAGCTCATAAGAGACTGACATATAATCCAGAATGCCAGTCTACTCGTTTTCAATGGGGGATAAAGCTGGTCAGTGACCAGCATGGTTAAATCCAATAACCTGGACATAACCATGTATGATCTCAACCAGTAACTCCTGTATCTGGTTTCTAGTGACAATTCCAAGAACATAAGACCCATTCAACATTTAAATCCAAATTTTCAGATGACTCCAAAGCTACATGGAAATGATTTGATATTGAACTCTAAATTTGCATTATCTAGACTATCTCTTACCCAGTTGGGTAACCCAGAATCGATAGTAAAAGGCTCCCGCTTTCCCAAAAATCACAGGACATAAAAATGAAAAGCACTGGAAGGGCAAGACCCCCAGTGAATTTCAAAGCTGCTCTTGTGTCTTTTTCTTTTTGATCTTGAAGCCATGAGGAATTCTAAAAATACAAATGTATTAATTTTTAAAACTTGACTTTACTGAATATTGTTCAGATCCCCAAGCCTACAAAAATAATTTTATTTTTTTAAAAATGCTCCCTGCCTCAAAGGAGTTTACAGTCCCTTAAAGGAGACAGATGAGTCAATAGATTAGAAATATAGATACTATGTGAACACCAGTAAAACTACCTAATCCATAAAGAGTCGGGGGGTAGGTATGGTTGGCCAAGTTTATCAGAATTTATGATTCTAGGGCTGAATCTTGAACACGGGTAGAAGTTAACCAAGTGAAAAGTGTGGGTCACGATACTCTAAGTAGAAGAAGCTTTATGGGCAAAGGCAGAGGCTGAAAAGCATAGTGCTTAGGGGACCTACAAGCAGTTCAGCTTGCGTGGAGGCAGCATGAGATGAAAGTCTGGGCTTGTAAGTAGGAACCATGCCAAGGAGTTTGGACCTGATTCTTAGAATACTGAGAACCACTGAGAGATTTAAGCAGGTTGTGACGTGATCAGATTTAAGTTTTAGAAAGAACCCTCTAGCTGCAGGACTGAAAAGGGTTTGAAGGGAGGCAAGACATGAAGATAATATATAGTCTCGATATAATCCATATAATAGTATTACTGGGGTCTGAACTAAGGAGGTGGCAGTAGGGATAGAGGATACAGGTACGAGCTGTTAAAGACATTGACTTGACAAAGCTTGATGATGAACTGATTCCTTGAAGAAGGTGAGAGAGAAATCAAGGGTGATTCCCTGGTTTAGGGTTTGGGAGACTTGGTGGGTGGTGATGCTGGTCACTGAGATAGGAGCAGGTTTAGAAAGATGATTTCCCTTTGGAAATGTTGGGTTTCAAGTGCCTGTGGAAGGCCTAGGGGAGAATGCCCAGCATGCCCAGGGCAGTTTTTTATCCCCACTCACCTCTCACATCACCTGAGGGACTCTCCCTGCCTGCCTCCAGCCTGGAAGAAGGTCCACCAGATTACTGACATCTCTGCCCTGTGGGCAAGGACCAATTTCTTTTCATTTCTGTATCCCTGCTCAGGCTTTAGCACACAGTAGCTCAATGTGTATTTGTTGAATTGCCTCAAATTTACAGAAGTACACTCCTTGGGGAATGAATAAGGTGCTATTAGAGATGGAAGACCAGAAAAACAGCTATGAGCAGAAGGCCAAGGAGTCACTGCAGAAAGTGCTGGAGGAGAAAATGAGTGCAGAACAGCAACTGCAGAGCACACAGGTGTGGGGATGCTCCATAATCCTTGGGGCTGGGAACCCTGGGGCAGTCTGGGTGGCAAGGGAGCCAGCTGCACGACCTCCTGGAACCCCCAAGGCACCACCCTCTCCTCTGATCTCCCTCAGCGGTCCCTGGCTCTGGCCGAGCAGAAGTGTGAAGAGTGGAAGAGCCAGTACGAGGCTCTGAAGGAGGACTGGAGGACCCTGGGGACCCAGCACAGGGAGCTGGAGAGCCAGCTCCACGTGCTTCAGTCCAAACTGCAGGTACCAGGCCCTGGGAGTAGGGAGGTGGGGAGGGAAGGCAGGGTTTAGGGGAGGGAGGTGTTGACAGCCGTGAAGAGAGAAGCTGCTGCTGGGCAGGGGGACCCAAAGCTAATTTTGAGTTTAGCAAGGATGTCTGCACTGCTCATGCAAATGACCTAAGTGTTCATTGAAATGACATCATCCGAATGCAAAGGGCTGGGCTGGAATAGTCATCAGCCTACTGTCATGCCCCAACCCACTCTCTGCACCCCATCCCAGCAGGGCATCCAGTTCAGAAATGCCCGCTACTGGGGCAGAATAAATGTCACCAGTTTACTTACAGTTTGAGTATCAACTAACACGTCTTGCCAATGTGTTTTTTAAGCCATTACAGTAGACCCTTGGCATTCTCAAGGGTTCCATCATTTCCAATCCGTGTTTACCGTGGAGAAGTTAACTAACCTCCTACGCCTCAGTTTCCACACCGGTAAAATGAGGATAATAACGGTACCTCTATCATAGGCTCCTTGTGAGGATTAGGTGAGGAAGTCCATGCAAAGCACTTAGCACAATGCCTCGCCCATGTAAGCTCTCCACAGATACTAGCTATTGTTTTTCGCAGATTTTACTTACTTGGTTTGGAATTTTGAGGACCCACCTCAAAAGTGTCTCTTTATACTTTTACTGAAGCTGGGATCTGAGAATCCTAGTGTGTGCCAGTTCTAGAAATAAGATCAGTGAAGTGTGAAAGTTGTTTTTGTTTGATTTGTTATGTTTTTTAACAACCTAAACCTTAATGTGTGGCTCTAAGGTGAGCAGGGAGAAAGGGGAACATTTCGAGTGATTGTAAAGAATTTGTTGGGGGGATGGTGGTCCAGATATCAATGTGTTTTAGTTTTATGTACAATATCCTATTAGCAATGAAGAAGAGTGCAACTCTAGTTCAAAGTCATTAAAAAGACATTTGTAATTCCCTTATTACCTCGAGCAGTTTGTACTCATAGACATCATATTTGTTTATGAAGAATTAATGTTCCAAATGTAGAAAAAGGAAGAACCGATCAGACAGAGGAATGGGGGTTAAAAACATCTAAGGTTGGGCTTCCCTGGTGGCGCAGTGGTTGAGAGTCCGCCTGCCGATGCAGGGGACACAGGTTCATGCCCCGGTCCGCGAAGACCCCACATGCCGCGGAGCGGCTAGGCCCGTGAGCCATGGCCGCTGAGCCTGCGCGTCCGGAGCCTGTGCTCCGCAACAGGAGAGGCCCGCGTACCGCAAAGAAGATCTATCTATAGATTTCCTTTCAAATCTATTAAAAAACAGAAACCTTAGAATTTGCTTCTCGCTATTTTTGCTTCTCACTTTTTATATTCTTATGTACAAATTATTCTTATATTGTTCTTTAATTTTTTATTTTAAAAGGCAAAGAATTTCTCAAAGGACGTTAAAATTCTTTTTTTAAAAAAAAAAAAAGCCCATTTGATAAGAAACAGCAAGTGAGTCGTCTTATCACAGGAGGGAACCTCGCTGGGCCCTGCACCGCAGCCACATCTCACCCACGGTTCTCTTCCTCGAATCACCTACAAGGGAACTCTCCTGAAGGCCCGTTTCTTTTTAACCTTAATCCGTTGTGAAAAATGATCCTACCCGCCTCCTCCCCCCACCCCGGATAGCGTGACAATGAGAAGTAAAGACAAAGTGAAGACATCTAGAAAAGTGATGATTCAGTATTCCTTAATTTGGGCATTTACCCAAATGTATCCCTTGTGAACATCAAAAATCTAATGCACTGTTTGCTGTAAGCGTGAGGAATAGAGCAAAGCAAAGAATTTAAAAACTTTTCCTATTTTTCCATTTCCCTAAGGCTCTTTGCAGCTCTAAAATTCCACAGTTTTCTAGTTTTCCTCTTCCTTGGGATCTGCCCCCACCTCCACCCTAGCACTGACCTGCTTGTGTCCACCCCTCCTCCCCCTTCCAGGGAGCAGACAGTAGAGACTTACAGATGAACCAGGCCCTAAGGCTTCTGGAGAATGAGCGCCAGGAGCTGCAGACCAAGACTGAACGCCTGCAGCGGGACAGAGACCTGTGCAGCTCGGATACCCAGCACCTACAAGGTACCCTTCTCCTTGGAGGCCTCTGGCTGAAGGAGCCCAGAGAAAGGAAGCTGGGTGGAAAGGCTTCAGTCTTTCGCTTGTTCATTTGGTTGACTTGGCAATTTCATTTGACTTTGAGAAAAAGTCAAGGCTGTTTTAATCATCCAAGACTGAAAGGATCCAGCCCATCCCTCTAAGCCAGAACACAGCAGTCACGTGTCAAGGGTGCATTCCTAATTTAAACGGAAAGGTCAGTTGAAACACCAGGCATAGTGAAGGTTTCCCAGTCACAGCCTCTGTCAGCTGAGAGAGGACCAAATTATGTGCACATATAACCCTTAATTCAGCCCACTGTTGATGCAGATGAAATCCCAGGTAGTCGGGTTCTGGTTCACCTCTTCCAAACTGGGACAAGCAGAAGAAAGAGCAACTTCCACTTGACACTTGTCAGATGCCGTGGGCAAGACAGCATCTGTTACTGATTTCCAGCCTCAGGGGTGAGCTCATTAAGTCTTAGGTTCGTCTATTTTGGTTTGCATTATTTCATTTTCAGATCAACTAAAGAGGTCAGAGGAGGAGAAACTTGCCCTGGTGACCAAAGTACAGCAGTTGCAGAGTAAGTCCCTTTTCCAGATTCTGAAAGTAGCACAGGTGGCTTTTTGGTGTTCTTGGGGCTCCTGCCCCACGAAAGGCACCCAAAGGAGGGATGGGGAGCCTGGTCCTTGGCATATCCTCTACCTCTGCATTTTCAGACCCTCTTCTTCTGCAGTGAGGCCATTTACAGCTCTTCACAAGTTCCACATTAGCCTCTGGGTTTTTTTGTTTCTACTTTTCTCCGCCATGTTCTCTGACAACCACCTGCATTTCCCCCAGAACTGCAGATTTCAAAACGTGTTGAGTTTTCTAAGGTAGTTCTTATTTTATATAGTCTAATTTATTATGTACATATGTCACACAGACCTGTCACTAGGAATGGTTCAGAAAATAAGCTCACACTACATATGCCTCAGTCCACTTCAAAATTACGTGTTGAGGCCAAAGAAGAAAAGGGACGTCTCAGAAGAAAAGCAGGCAATTTCTGAAAAGCTGGAGAACCTGATTCAATTAATAGCTCACACCTTAACCTCTGACACCCTGACAGAGAAGTTTCATGCAAACAGCAATGAATATGAAAACAGCAAGGCAGCCACAGGGCTAAGGGGAAAAGAACACCAGCAGAAGCCGGGCTCCTACACAGCGGGAGCTGAATGGGCAAGTCACTTCAAAATCATGCCTTTATTTATTCAATACATATTTATTGAGCCCCTGCCAAGTGCCAGGCACCCTAGATACTCACTGGGGATACAGTAATGAACAGAGCTGGCACGGTCTCTTCCCTAACAAAGCTTACATTCTAAGGAAACACTACAGTGGACTACGGAGCTTCTGTGAACAAATATGTGTCAGGTATTAATAACGGCTACAGAGAAAAAATAAAGCAGGTTAAAGAGAAAATAGTTGCTATTTTACACAGGGTCATCTGGGGAAGTCTTTCTTCTAGGGTAACATTTAAGCAAAGACTTAAATGTTCATGGTAGGAAAAGACATAAGGATGGTGTGTTCAAAACACAGCACCACAAACTGGGTGACTTAAAGAACAGACATTTACATTCTCATAGTGCTAGAGGCTGGAAGTCCAAAATCAAGGTGTCAGGCGGGGTTGGTTCCTTCTGAGGGCTCTGGGGGAAGGATCTGTTCTAGACCGCTTTCCTTGTTTTGGAGATGGCTGTCTTGTCCATCTCTTCACACGTCTTCCATCCATCCACGTCTGTGTCCAAATTTCCCCTTCTTATAAGGACGTCAGTCATATTAGGTTAGGGCCCATTCTAATGTCCTATTTTTAACTTGATTACCTCTGCAAAGAACCTATCTCCAAATAGGGTCACATTTCTGAAGTCCTGGGGGTTAGGGCTTTGACATATGAATTTGTGGGGGGCAGGTGGGGGAGACACAATTCAACCAACTACAGATGGGAACACAATCATTAAGGTTCTAAGCAAAGTTCTGAAAAGATACTCTTCGCAGTAAATATGCTAGCACAGAAAAGTTCCTTGTGTTTTCCAACAGGTCTGCTTCAGAATCAATCCTTACAGCTTCAAGAACAGGAGAAACTCTTAACAAAGAAAGGTCAGCAAATTTATTTCCACAAATTCTAAGATATTGCCCTTTCCCTGTCCGCCTAGAGACAGAGGGATGGACTACATGACCTCTTGGAGTCCCACCCAGTTCTGGGAGTCTATTAGGTCAGGGAGCTAGAGGGCCATTTTAAGGACTCATCACTGGCTCTGAGAATAGTTTAGTTAGCCTCCTATCCTGAGAGGTATATAAACTGTGAAAAGGATTCCTACTCCCTCTGAAAACATATGTCTGCATTGAATATTTCAATAAATTGATTTTGAGCTCAGGATTTTATGTTAATTTTTACCCTTAACTTTCCAAACCACATCCAGCTCCCCAAGTAGAAACCACGTCACATGGAACGGTCACCTTACTCTCAGCCCTCAAGTCTGCTGCCTTAGCTTCCTGAGAAGAATTCATCATACATCTGGAGGGGCAAAAGCTCCTCATTTATCCACTGCACATGGCCCTCTGTTTTGTCATCACAATCACTGGGTAGAATATAAAGAAGGAATTATTATGCCCACATAGGATGGATAAGAAAATGAAGGTAAATGAAGGTCTGTGGTCATACAAATTAAGGACACAGCTATGACCACAATCCAGAATTTCTGACTCCCAGGCCAGGGCTCTCTTCACCAAGATGCAGACTGCCAGGTGGCTGAAAAACCATCTTTAACTACATGAAGATGAGTTATATGACTGCCATTCTCATCTCATCATTTTGAAACAAGGACAGAAGGAAAATGGAGTTATACTGAAGCATCCAGCAAACCTCCCAGTCTAAAAGATGTGACATGCAACCAAAGAAACTAAATTAATAAGTATTTTCTAAAAGTATCTGGCTTTAGACAGGACTAGAGATACAGAGAAAAGTAAAATGCCAACCTTGCCCTCAAGGGGCTCAAATTCCCACTCTCTGTCCAGTCTGGGCAGGATCCCAATGGATGTTCTTTAAAAGTCAGAGAATTGCAATCCACACGGTCTGGCCAGGGACAGGCCCTTCCTTATTCCCTCCCGCTTAGGGCTTCTCTCAGTGTGTAGGGACCATTCCTCAGAGGTATGGGCCTCACTTTCAATGCGAATCTGGCTGATTTTTTAGATCAGGCTTTGCCTGCGTGGAGTCCAAAGCCCTCCCATAACGAAGTGGTCCAGGGAAGGAGAAGGACTGGGATTTCAGAGACCAGCTCCAAAGGAAAACTTTGCAGCTCCTGGCCAAGGAAAAGGAGGTGAGATGGTGACCTCCGATAGTAAGGGGCTCATCCTACAGTGACAGGGAAACTGCTGGGAGGCAGCCAGACAACAGGCATTTCTGAGCTTAAGTTGTGATTGGGTGCCTGCAGGTATTCATTTAGGCCTGAATAAAACATCTTTGCTTTCGGGTTAACTTGTCAATCTTTTCTCTTGTTTATACCAACCCTTATTCAAGGTTTTACTAAAGAGTTACTTTTCAGAAAGTCAACCTAAACTCAAACACATTTAACAAACACATTAACTCCTCAAACTTTGTCCTACATTGAGTATCTTAAAACTTTATACAGTGTCTTTTAAATAACAAAACTCTTCCTATCTGCATACTCACAGAAATACGTAGCTCCTGAAGTGTTCACACGCAACTAGTTCCCAGCAAAGAGACTTGCACTAAGATCTCTTCCAGGTTGTGTGTGCTATAGGAACTTCATTTTTGTGTGTCTCCATTTACAAAGCACTGGCACATACAACTGTCACACATGTGTAATATATAATAATATGCATTATAATCAATCATTTAAATGAACACATTACAAACAAACTAGGTGAGACAGTCAGAAGGCAAACTGAAAGCTCAGAGAAAAGCTGGGAAGGGAGGATGGAGGTAAAAATTCCAAACGAATGACAGGGCAACTTACACAGGGCCCTCTCCCCTACCTGGGCTCTGTCCCTGACAGAACTGTCTTGATGACCTTGGTGGTGTTCTCCCGCAACGCCCCCCCCACCGCCCCCACACAGTGCAAAGAACTGCATTCAGAATTAGACAGCCTCAGTGATGAGTATCTCTCCTGCCTGCGTAAGCTGCAGCATTGTCAAGAAGAGCTGAACCAGAGCCAGCAGCTGCCTCCCAGAGTAAGCGGGTCTATCCTCCCGTACAGCCCTAGGTGATCGTGGGACGATTCCTCCTTTAGCCAAATCTTGCCCATAAAATTGTTCAGCCCCTGCCAACATCGGACCAGCCGGCCCCGTTCAACTTGGTTTATACTGTACTGAGAGTATAGCAACCATGTAAAGAAACACTGGCTCATGCCTCCAAGCCTAATTTTCATGGAAAGCCTGAGCCTGAAGGGAAAAACTTACTACTAGCTGAAGTATGAAACGGTGTTCTTTTAGTCTATTATGAGCATAGTGGCAAGGACAGAGTGACGAGAAAAGGAATATAAACAGAATATAATTTTGCTGAGTTATTTTCCACTTTTGATTATTCATATCAGTATTTAAGTACCTGGCCCCCGCTGGCTGTGGTTCGCTGGGCCAGTGACCACTGGAAAGTGGTTTTATCCCGAGGGAGGTGGCAAAGTGAGAGAGACAGAGATATAAAAAGCTTTTTCTCCTCCAACAACCCAAGGTTTTCCACTGGGCTAGAATGGGAAGAAGGAAGATTATTTTTGCCTGCATCTTCTCTGACCAACCCATGGCCTCTTTCTCTTCTCTCCCCCTCCCTCCTCACAAAGGCAATGTGGCCGATGGCTTCTGATGCTGACGGCACTGACTGCTATAGCAGTGGCAGTGTTCCTGGCCAATAAGGACAGCCTGAAGCTCTGAATAACTGGTGACAGCTGCCTTGGGTGATAATCAGAAGCAAGAAATTCAGTAAAAAACTCAGGTCTGGGTACTTTAATGTGTGGGGTTTTCCAACTCAACTGAGATTTCTGACTCTCATTTTTTTAACCTGCTGTAAAAATAAACAAACTTCACCTGATGGCCTCTGTTCCAAAGAACTCTGTTTATTCCTGAAGCATCCTGGTCTACTCTCCCTAGTCCAGTTCAGCATAAAAATGGCAAATTTATTACAGCATTCTTCCCTAGGTCCCCGAGATGCTTGGAATTGGCACTTGAGATGATTCCTATGTGCCATCTCTGACCTAGAGCTGATCATTTACCGAGCTCCTTCTACACAGGAAAAGAGTTAAAGTCAGAGGGCCACAGCCGGCAGTGTGACTATCTCAGAGGAGATGCTGAGGTCAGTGAAGTCATTCTGAGTCCTACATCGAGTTCTAAGGGCCTTCTCCCAAGTGTTTAGAATGTTCCTCAAGGATGGGAACAAGCTCTCTGGGACACTAAAGGAATAGAGCAAGACTGGCGGTTGACCACGTAGCCACGAGATCCGGGCGGTGAACACCCGTAGTGGAGTCTGGGCTAAGCAGTTGTCATCTCCCTGGTTCATGTGAAAAGTATAGGGGACAGGATAGCCCAGGAGGATCCCAAACACAGTACAGAGATTCCAGTCTGAGGAACGGAGCCTGCTGCAGGAGACTGCCAGGGATTGGTTCCTCCGTGGCCCCTGCAAATGTGTGATGATCTCAGCCACGAGGGCCTTTAAGTCCTGAAGCTGGTCCAGGGAGCAGATGGAAGGGTGAAGTTGAGAGCTGGAAACATCCACAAAGACTATGGTACCAAGCAGCACCTGCTCCAAGTGCCGACACACATGCTCCGGAAGGACAATCAGGCTGTTTTCTCCAATCTCAAGGATGTGAAGTCCCTGGGTCGGGAAGCCCAGGCCCTGCAGCTCCTCCAGATAGCTCTGGAGCTCTGCTGCCCCTGCACAGTTGCAATCATACAGCAGAGCTGGCTTCAGTCCCCTGGCCACAGCCAGCACCTCTCCGGCTAGATGAAGGCAGACAGCTCGGGGTGGGCCTCGTCTCTTTCCCATGCCCAGGGTCTGCTGAGCAGCTGCCACCAGCAGCTGAGGACTTGGTGCTGACATGGGATCTGGCAGCAACAGTAAGCATGGCCTCCTCAACTAGTCACATTTCCCTCCCCTGGGCTGCATCTCTGAGCTCCAGACACTTGGAGAAGGGCCTAAAATCAAAGCAGTAGCAGTGGATTATTAACACCAGCTAGTGACATACCAGGAAACCTGCCAACAACTTTCCCTTAAGTCTTACAGCATCTTCCAGAGGCCATTTTCCCCTCCCTCTGCCTTGGAATGCTAACCCAGCCCGGACAAGATGGGGTCAACAATGCTATCTGATTTTTTTGGTTGACTTGGCCTCCATTAGTCCCAAATTCATGTGTCTTTCTAGCCTACGCCTAGATTTATATTTTCTCTGGCTGAATTTTACCTGTTGTAATTTATTTTCTCTGATTCAAACGTTAAGGAGTTTGGGGCAGAAAGGAAGCAGGGGAGTTTTTGGCAAAATTCTGAGCATTTCACCTAAAACTGCCCTCTGAGATGGAGTTCTAGGTTCCAAATGCACTCTTTTCACTGCCAGCTCCCCCTTCGCTTCCCGCCAATAGTTGTAAGAATAGCAATCTGATTAAACTAATATACACTAGAATGTGGACTACCAACCATCTCACCCTGAGACAGAAAAGTAAATAAAGGAAATCGGGTAGAATTGCAAGAGGGTTGTACTTTAACTTCTGCTGGTCCCGCCTTCCCCTACTAGTGGATATCCACGGACCCTCGGACGATGGGCTCACCTCAACCCCTACACCGTCTCCTGAGCATCGTATCGTAATTTGTTAAATGAGGCAGAGGTCTCTCTCACACATACATACGTTCTTCTACTTCCGCTGCACGTTCAGGCTCAGGAACTCCTGCCAGTTTCCTGCCCGCTGCCAAGAAAGCCGCTAGGCGCCCGCCCTCTGCCACAAAACTGTAAATCCCACCCGCGTGGTCAGGTCCTTTACTGCCGGCGGGGCCAGGGTGGGCGAAGTCGATCTATTGCGCATGCCCAACACGTCCCCCGCCCCACTGCCTTCCTTGACGTCACCCAGTCCGCTCGCGCGCCTCGCGTTAGAACTACCCGCAGAGCAGCCCGGCTGAGTGCCGGAAGTCTGGGCGCCTGCGGCCCGGCCCCTTCCGGCCCCTTTCCATTTCTACGCAGATGTGGGCCCCACCCGTCTGCGTAGGAATGGAAAGAGGCGGGAGTGGAAGAAAAGAGGCGGGCGAAGCTAGTAGCCCGCCGCCGCCCTCCCTCGGCTCCGCCGCTTGCCCTCCTTCTGTGTTGTTAAGTCCGGTGTCCCGTTTGACCCGGAAGGCGGAAGCAGGGCACTCGACGCAAAAGCACGCTTTGATTTGTCTCTGGAGAAATGTACTTTCCCCTCCAAACGAAACTTATCTCAAGACAAGCGACGTGTTTTGCACAATATCCTCACCTGTGGGTGCTGGAAAGTTTTTTGTTTTTTACTTTGACCTACTTAAATCCTGAGAGGCTGAATTCCGAGAAGTGGGTGGACAGGTGTCCTGGCCAAAGTTTGTCATCTCTAAGGGTGTGAAGTGCATGAGTATTCACTCCGAACAAATGTGTGCTAGGTATGCTTCTGGGCGCTGGAAGTATTACAGCGTAGAAAACAGACAAAAACCCCACCTTCTTGGAGCTCAAATTGAGGAATTCAGTTTGCTGACTTCACGTGAGAAACGAGAGGCAGAGGTGCAGAAGCTTTTCAGGTCATTAGGAAGAAAAAGTTATTTCACTGAAAGGTTAACTACCAGTGATATGACCCATACCACGAAGGGAAAGAATTTCTTGAGAAAATTCGTATCTGAAGAAATAGCCCAAATTTATTGATACATGGGCAGGGCAGAGGCTAAGGGAACTGCAGTCACCTACACTGGAAGTTTCACTTGTGGCTGTACCTTGGTGGCATCTTCAGACTGTGAAACGAGACCACTGTAGAGTAAAGGTGGGGCCAGCCTGGAAGGAGGTGCAGCTTGTAGGGGCTCCCACACTAACGTGGAGCCAGAAGCAGAGCAGAAACTAATTTTAGAATTTTTTCCATCCCCATATTTACTTTATTTTCCCATGGTAGTTAGCAATCAGTTTCTGAAATGAAGGACGTATTGAGTTAATGCATTTATTCTAACAATAAATATTTGAGAACATACTATGTACCAGACATTGTGCTAAGGGCTGACAGCAAAGTCCAAGTCCCTACCTCCAGCAAGTCTGTAGTCATGCAGGACACAAACTGAGTAATTACAAGGGAATTGATTATTCTGAAAGAGGAACTATAGGGTGCTATGGGAACATATAGCCAGGGACCTAATTATGTGGGCAAGGGACCAGTCCAGATCCAACATTTGCCCTCCCGATTTACACCTACAGCTAATCTAGTTTAGTGGGGTGGACAGTGAGAAAATGAAAAGCTGGGGACACCACCTAACTCCCTTCCCAGTCTTAAGCAAGGTGAAGGCAAGGAAGTAGAAAACACCAAGGGAATGATTGGTGTAGCCACCAAAGGAGATAGCAGACTGAGTCTCCAAGAAAGGACACCTGGCATCAGGACCACAGAAGGAGCACTGAGGGAGATCAGTGGAGAGCCCTGCGTGCACTCTCCCAGTATTCTGAAAAGGATAAAGAACAAGGAAGAAACTACACTACTGGGTTAAGACTACATAAAACCACTCATCCATTCCTCTAACATATTCATCAGCTTTTCATTACAATCACATACTAAAAGTTCGATCCTTCTTGGCACTTAAGAACACTGTTCTCTACACCCTTTGCCAGCTCACATTTTCTGGGCCCCCACCCAGGTGTACAGCCTGGCTGTTAGCATCTCACAGAATAAGGGGAAGGGACCAGCCCAGATCCAGCAGTTGCCCTCCCAATGTATTTTCTGTGGGTTCTTTTTAACTTTGAGCTTTGCAGATAAGAGACAGAGGGAGCCAGACATCAAGACCAAATCCCTCACTTCACCCACTCAAAAGAATGCCCCCAAAATATAAAGTTCCTATACCTTGCACATTTCCTGGTCTCTAGAAGCCCAACTTCTGCTTACAGCTGAGCACCTGAGCACCCAGATTTCTCTTGGTCATGCTTTAGTAACAGCAGATTCTACTAGGTCCCTTAGAGAGAACACCCAGATTTCTCTTGGTCATGCTTTAGTAACAGCAGATACTACTAGGTCCCTTAGAGACCCTAAAACCACAGCTTAAGCTTTCTAAATAAGTCCATTGCCACTTGTGATTGAGGGGTTTTTGAAATAAAGCTAGCCCAACTTTACAGCTAGCTCAACTACAGTAGCAAGTAGGAGGTGGCTTGCTTTAAGGGTAGCAGACCAGACATGGACTTTCTTAATATGGCATGGCACACATAGGTATCAGTATTCAGGAGGGTTGGAACCTGCAACCAGAGATAAGCATCTTGTTTTCCATTTAGGTCCTGGAGTTTAAATTATGTATAATTTCATCCTAAAAAACAAAACAAAAACAAAACAGAGTCAAAGGGTCAGTGACAGAGCAAAAGTTAATAGATCAGACCAGTTTGTGGCAGCCACAGCTGCAATGTTCTACACCTTAACTGTAGCCATAGCTGCAATGTTCTACACCTTAATCTACACTCCTCACCTTAAATGTTCACACCCAGCTACCTCCACCAGGAAGGGAGGCAAGCAGGTTTGTGCTAGGTGAGCCATTTCCAGAAAAGCACTGCCCAGCCCTTCTTCACCTTGACCTTAACACATTCAACACCCCATTTTCCCCATCCACAAAAAATCCAAATGACAGGAAGACTGTAAACATCTCCATACAAGGAGGAACTGTCCCTGTCTCCTCTGTGGTCACAGGAGTTGGTCCTGGATGCCCAGCTCACTCTCAGGTCTTCCTCAAAGAAGGGAAAAAAGAACAAGAGAGCTCTATCCTCTCCAAAGCTTATCACTGAGTTATATACTGTTGTCTACCACACACACACAGTGGTACAGACATACCTCATTTTATTGTTTTGCTTTATGGCACTTTGCAGATACTGTTTTTTACAAATTGAAGATCTGTGGCAACCCTGCGTCAAGCAAGCCTATTGGCGCCATTTTTCCAATAGCATTTTTTCACTTCATGTCTGTGTGTGATGTTTTGGTAGTTCTCACAATACTTAAACTTTTTTATTGTTTTGTTTGTTATGGTGATCTGTGATCACTGATCTTTGATGTAACTATTGCAAAAAGATTATGACTTGCTGAAGGCTCAGATGATGGTTACCATTTTTTAGCAATCAAGTATAATTATTTTTAATTAATTTATTATTTATTTTTGGCTGCGTTTGGTCTTTGTTGCTGTGCGCGGGCTTTCTCTAGTTGCAGCGAGCGGGGGCTACTCTTCATTACAGTGCACAGGCTTCTCATTGTGGTGGCTTCTCTTGTTGTGGAGCACGGGCTCTAGGCATGCAGGCTTCAGTAGTTGTGGCTCGCGGGCTCTAGGGCGCAGTCTCAGTAGTTGTGGCACACAGGCTTAGTTGCTCCATGGCATGTGGGATCTTCCCAGACCAGGGCTCGAACCCATGTCCCTTGCATTGGCAGGCAGATTCTTAACCACTGCACCACCAGGGAAGTCCCCAAGTATTTTTAATTAAGGTATGCACATTTGTACTTTTAGACATAATGCTATTGCACACTTAAAAGACTACAGTATAATGTAAACATAACTTTTATATGCACTGGGAAACCAAAAAATTTGTGACTTGCTTTATTGCAATATTCACTTTATTGCAGTGGTTTGGGACTAGCCCTGCAGTATCTCCGAGGTATGCCCGTATTTCAGTGGTGATAAGCTGAAAACCTGACAGCCAATTCTTCTACAGAATCCCTAAGCCTCTACATCAACGCCCTCCCCTTAGAAGCTCAGTTTGTGAGTTTTTACTCCACAGGCTGGGTGACTTTCAGACTTTGGCACCTACTTCTATTTAGATATCTAGCTTGGTTCCCAAGCAACCAGCCGGCGCCCCTCCCTCCCTCTTCCCCCATCGGGGAGCCAGCTTACTATACTAGCAGAACAGGTCAAACGGAGATCAATCCTGGACAAATCAGTGCTTGAGGGAACTTTAATGAAAGCAAAAAAAAAAAAAAAAAAAAAAAAAATGTGGTGCAAGAACAAGGCAGAAATGTTCTGTTCCAGGCAGTTTTGCCTTGTACAAGTAGAAGGAAGTCACTGAGTCAGAGTTTTAAAGCTGGCATTATTTCAGGCATCATTCCAACTCCTTCATTTTACAGTAATGAATCTGAAGCCCAGAGGCTAAATGACTTGGTTCAAGGTCACACCACTGGAAGCAAAGCTGCGGCTAGAACCCTGGTGTCCAAACTCCCAGGCCAAATCTCCTTCTACTACATTACACTACCGTGGGGAGGTTTAAAAAAGAAAGGGAAAGTATGAAGGGTGATTTTTCCATAAATTAAATCAACTTTAAAAGCTAGGCATATTTGGAGAGTCAGAGAGTACTAATATTGTTAGAAAGAAGAAAGGTTTAAAAGCTGGTTAAATCTAATAAAAAATATCCATATGTACAATATTGTAAAAAAGAGAAGGAAGATGGCATTCATGATTACTGGGCTGGCAGGGCAGGGGACAGTTGCATGCTGGGGGTGGGCTGCATGGGCTGCCAGCTTTCCTGGGTTTGCAGGATGCGGTACAGCTGCTTCAGCTGAGCAACAATGTTATCCTTGATGTCTGGAGTTGAGATCTGCAGGCGGACACTGCCACTGTCAAAGGATCGTGTGAAATCACCAGAAAACATCTCATAGATCATCCGAGCCACCACTGGAATGACCTGTTCAGGACACAGAGCACACAGCTATCCACTGAGGAAAGGGTATTTTTAAACAGCAGGAGGGGCCCAAGATTGACGGAAGGACCAGTGAGGCTGTGGGGAACCCACCACTTTAATGTCTAGATACAGACTATGCCTTCATCTCTCTGGACCATCCTGCCAAGGTTCGCTTTAGAATTTGGTTCAAATGAAGGTAAAGAACCTAGAGGTAGCATCACATCACATGCCTAAATAAATAACTGCTTATTTAGCAAGACTTTTACCCGAATTTCGTCTACTGCCTGTCTTGATGCACAAATCCACAGCCAAACCCAAGTGGTCTTGCTGCCATTTTCCAGAATGAGAACACGTTCTTAAAAGTACCTCAAAAGGTTTTTCTAAAAGAGCTAGAAAGAGTCATATCCTGTTAGGTTTCAGCAAGACTCTAACGTCAGTAAGAGAATAAGGTCTCCCCTGAATCAGTCACTTGCTTTGAGGACACTGTATTCTCCAGCCTGGTCCTACTGTACAACGTACAAAGCTCAAGTTGCTACATCTGATGGGATTAAAACCCACAGAGGCTGATGGATCCTCACTCAGGGCTCAAGCCCAGACCTAGGGGCTAAAGCATTGATAAAAAGGCAAAGAGTTGTTGACACATTATTATCTCCTCACCTGAACCAAGATGAGTTTCCTTTCCTGAGGTTTCCCATCTGGCCATTCTTCCCCAAAGCATAAGTAGATCTCAAATGGTGGCTGTTTCTCTATCTGTCCTTTCTGGTGGGCAATGAGATCTGCAGAACATGGAAGAGCATGGAGTTTGGGGTACTGGGTCATTCCACACCTACTCAGTAAACACTTTCTTTTATACTGTCCAGAATAGTAGCCACTGGCCACAACATGTGGGTACTGAATTTAAATTCATTAAAATTAAATAGTTCCTTAGTCACATTAGTTACATCTACATACTCAATAGCCACATGTGGCTAGTGGCTACCACATTGAACAACATAAATATAGAACATTTTCATCATTTCAGAGAGTTCTATTGGACACCGCTTAAACCAGGCTTAGGGTTCAAATCACATTGGAAAATTCACATCTCAGTGCTCTCCCTAAATATGTCTGCTTAAATCGGCCGTGCAAACATGTCCCAAATGAGAAGAGTATATGTTTTGCTGATCATGATGAACAGGGTCACCTTCCAAAGTTAAGGATAAGCTGGTAGAATGTGGGGAGCAATAACAAGGCTGTCTTCTTCTTCTGCCAATAAAGGAGCCATAACCACCTAAAACTGGCTTCAAATGCACAGCTTTGGAGTGGAACACCCTTCTTTGTTGCCCAGGTCACTTTTATTTTTCAGAATCAAGGTCCCCTTCTACCGTAACTTCCTCCAGAAGAAATTGTTTGGTTAAGATCTTTGCAGAGATAGGAAAGGGGGGCAGGAAGGGGGAAGACGTACTTGCAGGGAGCAGTTCCCACCATCAATGGTCTGAAAAGAGACTCACCACTAAGGAACGTTTCCAGACAAAACAGTTTGACCTTCTTTTGTCTCTCGATCAGGTTGGGGGCAACAAGCGATGGGGCACATGGCCCAGACCAGTACACCTTGCACTGGCACAGCCTGATAGCATAGATGGCATGACCGCTGACCTCCAGGATCAGTCCTCTGTCCATGACGTCTAGCAGTTTGCTGGTGAACAGCTTCTGCTTCTCATTGGTGATGTGCTCCGGACCTGGGAACTTGACCTGTTCCAGGCTGACGGGACCAAAGAGCTCCTCCTGGTCAGGCATGGGACCCAAGTCTCCATAGAAGAGCCTGCAGCCCTGGGGGTTGCTCACCGTCATGGTCTGTGCATACTCCTTCCCACGGTACTGAAATTTGATGTCCAGGTCAGTCACTGCAAGGTGAGGGGGGACAGTGAGAGTCCTGCTCTGCTGCTCTGCCCATCCATCCCTAGGACTCATGCAAGTCCATCAAGATCAAGCCACCTTTCAACCAGCATTCAGGAAGGCCATTGCCATAGTTATCCTTCCTGTAACAAAGGGAGACATCAACATATCCCTGGAATATTCACTCAAGAGGCTGCCTTGAAGCAAATAGCTCAAATTCCATCTATACTATCACTGTTCAGTCACCACACCCTAACAGCTAGAATTTCTCCAACCAAAGTTCTGGGTCCTGGTCTCCCCATTTTGTACTGACTGAGTCTTTACATCAATAGGCATTGGAAGGAGCTGAAAACTAAGGCAGCATCTATCTGGTTTGTGTATCATTTTTGACTCACTGTTTAAAGAAACCAGAGGAACAATAAGAAATACCAAGGCATATTTCTGAAAATTACACAGATGAGCACACACTGTTGATATGTTCTAATAATATATCACAGAAGGACACAGTTCACAACAAAGTAAATTTTCAACTCAGCAAGTGTCCACTGAATCCTATAGGTCTTATCAAAGCTATCAGCCTCTTGGACAAAATGCTAGTACTCCCCTGGCGCCTCCCCTACCATATGTAGTGTGAAAGGGAGGTGCAATGACAATGATTCTTCACTGAGATCAATTTGTACCCAATTCAGAAAGAGATTTTCTCTGGGTCCTAAAGTCCCTCAAAACCCAAGAGCCTCCTTGACCAAATCCACAGTCATTAACTTCCCCAACCCACAACTGACCTTGTCCTCAAATCCCCTGGGCAAACTGATAAACCCAGGCCTTCCACCCACCTAATAGGTGAGTAACCTAGAGCTGCACAGCACCAATCAGAGAACCCCCATGGGCAAGTAGGTATGGGCTAATGTTTCTTTAGTTCCTGGTGACTCACCAGCCAGCCAGGAACCAGACACAGAGGCTGCCTGGGGGACTATTCTATACATGGCAAAGAAATGGAGGCAGAAGGTGGGGCAGGAAATGGACTGTAATAGGAGCTGAAGATCCAGCTAGAAAATCAAGGCTCACTTACTTGGGAGAGAGCTGATCCACAGCTCTGGAGAGCTATAGAAAGGCTGTATAGGTGCCTGGGGTACTTCCATCTCCAGAGGTTCCGTTTTGGGCCACACTGCTTCGGGGCTGCAGTTGCCCACACTGCAGTTGCCCACACTGGCTGGTGCTATGGGAGAACCTAGAAAAGAAGGATGTGGGTGAGCAGGCAAGAGCACCACACGTGCATATCACCTGGGTCCGAAGCTCTCAAATCTAAAAGGTCCAACACTGGACCACAACTCAGTGTGGCAGCCCATCAGTAATTCCCCCAACAAACACCAAAAGAAATAAGGTTCCCCTGCTTCTGCTTCCTAATCTTATTAGTTCTCTCATAAACTCATAATTCTGAAAACACGCATTTGCTGCTGATTAAAAGACACGTGGGTGCTCTCTGGGGTTAAATCAGAACAGGCATGAATGAGAGATTCCCTGTTACAAAATTTGAACCCAGCGATTAAACAGAAACTGGTTGTCTTCCATAAAATGAGCTCAACTAAATTGATTGATTAGCTTCGAATAAGTGTTAATGTATAGAAATTCCTTTAAAAACAAACACATACTTTTTTACATGCATGAAACATCTGGAAGGATACTCAAGAACCTGGAAAGATCTGTCTCCTCCAGGGAAGGAACTGTTCAGACAAGTTAGAAGGAAAACCTTTCAGCTGATTTCCTTTTTGTACCATTATGAATTTTAAACCATGTAAGAGTATTACTTATTCAAAAGTATCCAGTTAAAGCTTTTAAAAGAGAGAATGAAAAACACATCCTATATCCCTGCTATTGTCAAAGTTGGCTCACTCCAAAGTTTACAGATTTTTCCTCCTAGCCTCACCTTTTAAGCATCTATTCTTCAACAATTCTTCTTCCTCTGCCCAACAGCTCTGAAATCACAGAGGTTAAGGTTTCTTTGACCCTTTGTGTACGAGTCTGGTTATATCTATGTATTTTACTTTTTTATTTTTAATATATGTTCACATGTTTCCCTAAAGGATCCAAAGTGGCCCATAACATAAGGCCACACAACATTAGCTTTAAAAAAACATGAGAGGGAGCTTCCCTGGTGGCACAGTGGTTGAGAGTCCGCCTGCTGATGCGGGGGACACGGGTTCGTGCCCCGGTCCACATGCCGCGGAGCGGCTGGGCCCGTGAGCCATGGCCGCTGAGCCTGCGCATCCAGAGGCTGCGCTCCGCAGCGGGAGAGGCCACAGCAGTGAGAAGCCCGCGTACCGAAAAAAGACATGAGGGGCTCCCGGGGCTCCCCCCCCTGGTGGCACAGTGGTTCAGAGTCCGCCTGCCGATGCAGGAGACACGGGTTCGTGCCCCGGTCCGGGAAGATCCCACATGCCGCGGAGCGGCTGGGCCCCTGAGCCATGGCCGCTGAGCCTGCGCGTCTGGAGCCTGTGCTCCACAACGGTAGAGGCCACAACAGTGAGAGGCCCGCGTACCGCAAAAAAAAGAAAAAAAAAAAAAGGGAAATCAGGATTCTGGAAATGGGTTGCATCCTTTTAAGGGGTGAGAATAACAGAATGAGTCAGCCAAAGATTTGGGAAAGGATCTCACATTTCCAAATGTCCAAATCTTAAAATTGCACCAAGTGGGAATGTAGCTGTAGCAATATTAACCTGAGAGAGCTCTATGATCGTTGTCTTTACTCATCACTTGGTTGCAAAGTTATAAATGACAGGGTAAGTGAAGGAGGGCAAGTAGACAGATAAGAGTCATTTCCTGATTCTCAAGAGAAGGGGCATCACCTAGAGTAGGGTACTCCAAAATCCTACAGGAATCATCTTGATATACTAAATTTTCTAGGTGGCAAAAGTATCTCATTTGACCCTAGCAGCCAGATGGAACTTAGAAAAGTAGTGAAAAGCTACTCAACTGAATGCAAGTCATATGACTAGGAGCATGTCAGTGAAAAGTTCAAGCGAAAAAAAAAAAAAAAAAAAGGTCAAGCGAAGATGCTGTGGAAGAGCAATTCACCTTGTGTTTGAGCACCCTCAGAACGTGCAATGGGAGATGCAGTACCTGCTCTGTCTCACAGTGACCCTGCAACCTCTAAACTCATCTTTCCTGGGAAGTTGAATTCAAAAAGTCAATTTAAAAAAAAGATAAAAGTCTCTAGTAGATAAATTTTATCAGAGCCTAGTATTAAGAGCTGTAGAGCCACAAGTTTCCCATGATACAGCCTTAGCAGACGCTGTTAAGGCAGTGACAGAAAATTTATACCGAGGGAAATAGCAGAAGAGTTTGCCTACAATTCACGAAAATGATCTCTGCACTTGGCCTGAAGGAAATCACCAAAATTTATAACAACTTGTGTATTTGTATGCGGGATTGAGAATGAATTTAATTTTTTAATTTCGCTGAATTATCACATAAGATTCAGAAGATGCTCTCTCTGCCTAGAAGCCACCCCACTGGGATAGCTATGCCTGCGGAGTTCCTTTGCCTATGACTCCTACTTGCTAACAGACTGGCAGCCTGGTCACAGGGCCTGGTCGCTGCTGCCAGTGCAGTGGTGGATATGGTGTCAACGGTTGCAAAATCAAAGCCCCTTACATCCTCTCCATGCCTTTGTCCCACCCCCCACCCCACTCACCATTGATGTTCAGGAAGGGGAAGGTGTCCTGGATGGGAACGTGGTGCTGTGACTGGTCCAGCTCATCTTCCTCATCTTCTTCATCCACATCATTATCTTTCTCATCCCAAGGAGCAGATCCAGTGGATCCTACCCGAGAAACAGACACACACAAAGGTCACAGGTGAGCCGCTCACCTTGCACTGTCATCCCTGCAGCTGACCCACTGTTCAAGCTAGGCACTGCCAGCACAGAGGCTCCTTGGGTTCACTGTGCACCCTCAATGCCAAAGAGTGGAAACCAAGGGTGTTCACCCCACTCCCAGCTCCTCCTACGGAGCCCCAGTGCAAGCTCTCATCCCCTCCCCTATCCAGGAGCTGCAGACCCTACTCCCTTCTCCTGGAAATCTTTTAATTCCTACTCTAAACCCCTTTCTACACATTAGCATCCCTTCTAAGGACCCAAGGAGCACAGCTTCTCTCCTTTGTAAGCTTAATGTGAAGACAGACCCTTCCCTCATGGCAGAGCCTCACTAGATTCACTGGAGGTCAAGTCTAAATAATCTGGCTTAGTCGGAACTTGCTAAACATTGAGTAAACATAGGGATCAGGTGGTATTCTCCTAGGAAAAATACCATACAAATTAAACGATCACTTACCCATCATTTATAAAGAGAACTTAATAGCCTTCATAATGTCATGTCAATTGATTCTTAGAACAGCCTTTGAAATACGCAGGAAAGATGAGAACCCAGATTTTATAGTGGAAGAAGCTGAGGCTCAAAAGGTTGAATGACTTGATTCAATGTCCCACAAGTAGTGAAATGGAAAGAACGAGGTTTATAACTCAGACCTTCTAAGTTTTAATCCCTCCTTCTTCTAAACTATCTGGCCTCTCTTCTCAGTGTTGAGTCCCAAGAGAAGTTATTTTTTTACGGAACTCAATACCCCCTCTTCTTTCTAATGCTTTACTGTTCCACTGGGTGGGCAGGAAGACTTTGCTGAGTTTATATCTTTTGTTCTCTGGGTTCTTTCTAGGGACAGGATTTCTTGCTTTACCAGTCTTCAACTTGTAAGCGAGGCGACTTTCAAGTCGACTATCGCTTTAAGGGTCCAGCCCGGAACCTGGCACACTGTCCACCTTCTCCCCAGCAGCTGGGGTCTCACCTGGGTTAATGATAGAGCCCTGGGGCTGGGGGATGTCACACACTTGATATATCTTCACTGGGTTCATGGGCACCTCCTTGGTGCCGTCGTACATCAGGTTGAATTCCCTGCTCTTGTTGAGCGCACAGCGGAGCTGGGCCTTCCATTTAGCTGGGTCGGGGTCATCCACCCCTTCCTGGTACTTCCCTGTCTCCACAGCCCAGGCCTGAGGGATAGGAAACTGCAGTGAGTGCCTGCTTGTTGCCCAGGAACACTGGAAAGTGTGCCCGCCCTCCCTCATACAGACACAAATACACACAGCCCTGCCTGACCGCCCCATCACCCCAACTCCAATTTACAGAGACTGCAGCAGGAAACATCACGCTGGGGACCAGGCAAGGCAGGGCCTGAGAGAAATTAAGCCAAATGCAAATACAATATTTTAAAAAGAGGAGCCTCATCTCAAGTGCTTGTGCCAGCGTCATCTGTCAAGACTACAATGGCCATAATGAAGGGTTGAAAATAAAGAAAAATCTGGAACAAATATACATCAAAATACTAATGGTAACTTTTGGATAGCAAGATTTCAGGTAATTTTGTTTTGTTTTGTTTGACTTATTTTTCACATGAATTGCTTATATAATAAGAGAAAGGGAGATGGCGTATGATATGAAGAATTTAGGCTTGCTGTTCCCTCTCCCTTCAGTCTTGCATCTGATGCACAAAAACTGTTGAAACCAAGTACCTTTAGGAGTAGCGGACCATAGGAGGGCAGGAAGCACGCTCTGGGGGTTCAGCCTGCCTCAGTGGGAGGCTGAGGGCGTCAAGTCCTAATAAGCTCACACCACCTGCCTTTCCCTGCTTCCTCAAACTCCCGCATTGGGAACATTTTGCTGGGAACACCAGTGGCTGGTGGCCTGGGCCAAAACCAGTGTGGCCCCGCCTCTCTGGTTTTCAATTTCCAGGTCTAACAGGCATTTATGTGTCTGTTCACGGCATATCAGCCCTCCCCCATTGTGAACGTATCTCAGATGTCTACACTTTCTTCAGGGCTTGTGACGTATGTGCTGGTGCAGAAAAGGGGGATGTCTTCTGCAGAGGACTCAAGATCAGGAAGTACACGGCAGCTTGTTCAAGTGGACAGGGCATATCGCTTGTCCAGTCCCAACTCCCCGCCTCCGCTCCTGAACGTAGACTACTTCCTCAAGCCAAAATGGAATTTTTCTGGCCCCATCCTTTGAGCTCTCTGGTCTCCCTCAGTCAATCCCTGCAGAGCCTCACAATCATGAGGAAGCTTCTCCCAATAGCCGAGCTAAATCCTTCTCCTCCAATTCACTCATTTCTTCTTATCATCTTCTCAGACCTGGGGGCTCCTCCACTTGATGTGCAGTATGGAATGAAGCAGTTTCACAAAGCTGCTGCCCTTGGGCACTCAGCAGGCTCCATTCCATCCAACCCCCTGTAGGGGATTTCAACCTCACCAGTCCCTAGTGTCGGAGAGGCACATCTCCAGTTGCACCTGGCAGTACCTGGCTGCTGCCTCCTCACGTTTTCCCCTCTCTTTGTTTGATCCTCCGTGCCCACTCCCCCTCTGGCCCCATCCAGCTGGCTTGGGCTGTGCTGACTTTGGCCCAGGTCTGCAAACTTTCTGTGGCTCCCTGAATCCCTGCCCCTGCACAGAGAGCAGCAAGACTAACATCCTGCTCACAGCACAGCCATTCCGCAGGGCCCACTCAGATGATGCAGAGAACCTGAGGCTGAGGCAGCAGAGGGCGGTACCCACCACGTGACAACCGCTGTGCTTTATAAACATCCCTTATTCAAACCCATTCTGAGTCTTGCTTCTGAGATTCTGGTCACTGGGCAGGTCCCTATTTCTCTTCCTAAAATGGACACGAGTCTCTGCATTTTTATGGCAATGTACGAGTCCCTTCCCATACACTGATTTCACTCAATTCTCACAACGATCCTGTGAGGCAGGCAAGACTAAAAGCCCCATTTTACTGAAGGGGAAGCTAAAGCCCAAAGAGATTATGTGACTTGTTCAAGACCACACGTGCAAGTGATGGTAGTAGGATCTGAAGCCAGGTCTTCCAGCTCCTGGTCAGGAGGGGTCGTCTGATAATGGGGGAGCTGATAGGCCTGGGTTCAAACCCTAACCCCACCACTTATTGGCTGTGTGACTTGGGCAAGTTACATAGCCCCTCTGAGACTCAGCTTTTGCATCTATAACATGAGGGTGCCGCCCCCTCTTACAGTGTTGTCGAGAAGCAAATGAGATAACGGACCTAGGGTAGGCAGCGGGCACCCACTTAATGCTAGTCAGAACTGCCCACACCCCATATCCTGCCAAAGGCCTGTCAGAGCTTGGGATCTGTGAAAGCACCCTCACTCTTCTCCTGACACCCAGGCCCTCCCTTAGCATTCTGCAAACAGATACACAGATATAAGTAAGACAAAGCAGCTTCCCACAGCCAATTTTTCCTCAAGCCCTAAGCGTACAGAACATTCTCACGAGTGGAGCTTTCAGGAACCAGCCTCCTCCCCCACGGCCAGCCACCACCAGGCACTTCAACAGCAAGTCCAGCTTCAGACCAAGGCCACAGCGAGAGGCCAGCTGGGCCAGGGCAGGCCCATCCCCCTCTGATGCCAGCTCCAGTAACTAGTGCTGATTTACAGATGTTTTCCTTACCACTTTCATGTCATTATTTAATTTTTACATTAAAAGCATTCATTTACTTTCTAAGTATTCACAGGCAATTTTTTCTCTACCTCTCATCTCTACACCCAATATAACTGAGTTGGGTGGGAAACAACTCTAAGTTGGCTCTCCTTTGAGGTATGAGCCCACATTTCCTGGCCCAGTCTCAGCAAGAACCTGGAGCATCAATCTTGAGGGGCTCAGGGTAGGGACTGGATTTCACTTCTGACTTCCAGCTTATAGTCAGGGAAGAAATGGGGAAACTCATTTCTCCGTGTCTTGGGAGTGCAGGAACTAAAGCTACTCATGAGATGGAAGACTGACCAGCACAGAGAAGCTGGTCTGGAGCAGAGGCACGGGCTCCGGAGTTACAAACCACATAATACCCCTTCCCACAACTAGCTTCCCACCTACTTCTGTCTTAGACTTTGGTTTCACTTACATTTTATGAAATGCCATGTGATTCAATCTTATTTTCAGTGAAGCAAAATAACTCTCACATCAGAGCTACTCTTCAGTTAAGAAAACATATTTGTAGAATAAAAACCTGTAATTAAATCGCCTTTCATTTTTAAGTGGAGGTTATGGATGGGGCAAAATGTTTCAACATCAAAAGAAAAACTTGCAAAGGGCCCTCGACACCCATGCTACAGGCTGTTAGGAGCCTGCTAACACTCAGTAGCTGTGCCCTGATCTGGACAGCCATTCCCGGGCCAGTGCAAGAGCCCTGAGCGAATGAAGGGTTGATTGCTGGCTGACCCTTGGGAGCTCTGGAACAACCACAGCATACACGCACTTACAGGAGTTTAGCCAATCACACCTGGGAATCCCTTGGGAGGTGAGTTAGTAGCTTTGACCAATGGGAAAGAATAAATGGCCTCAACCATAACAGACATGCCCCAACAAGAGAAATTACTATGCCTGCTAAGTTTGCCCCCGCCCCACAGCATGAACATTCTCTTTGTTGCATCAGCATTTTGGATCTAGTACCTTCTTCAAGCCAAAATTGAAAACAGAAGAACAAAAACCCAGAAAGGTCTGAGAGAACTGGAAAACACTTCAAGTCAGATGGTAAAAGAATACCTTTACCTTGAAAATGGTGTTTTCCTCCTCCTGTTGGGGGCTATGCCGGGTGGCATGTTTCCAGGGAATCTGGAAGCGTTTGGAGTCCCTATGTAGCCAGATGAGCCCAGGGTACAGGCCACTATCCACTTGGGCCACCAACCAGGGCTTCAGCCGAACTCTGCGGGGGTGGAGAGCCATGATCTGGGTTGGCGGGAGGGGGAAGAAATGGGGAGAGGAGAATTAGGCCAGCCCCTGGGAAAAGTTCCCAGCCACTGTTCCCATATGATAGAGCTACAGTTTCACTAGATTACAGCAAAGAAACTAAATATGGGAATAAACTGTGCCAGGTGGGGAAGAAAAGAAAACAGGTTAAAAGGTTCTTTTGATGCTTATTCCAAAGCCATTTATTTTTCATGCTCTAGCCAAATCAGACTTATCACGTAAGTAGATCACATTTCTTCTATTTAAATCCCGAGGCAGAAAAATAAAGAGATGATGTCACCCCTGCTGGAAAACAGTCCTTCCGCAAGTACCAAGGGAAGAGAAGAGAAACTGCTCTTTTCAATCTCATCTCGGGAGAAGAAAAAAGTTATGGAAACAGCAGGTATATAGGCAAGAACTTGAAGCATGCTCTCTTCTTAGACAACTAAGGTGAATGGGAATATTTTAGTAAGAAATGACAGCATCGTGATGAGAGAGAAGTAGGCGAGGGATGGTCCCTGGTTCCAAAGTCCTCACTTACATAGATGAGCAGGCAGTGTATCCACAGGGATCTGAGAGCTAGGCCTCAAGTCAGTTTTCCTTTCTCTGGGCCACCCAAATGCGGGGTGGGGGGGGTCTGAGCTGGTTATCCCCACGACAATCCAGTGTCTAGGAGAAGGCTTGGGAGCACTGGAGACAAAGTGTAAGAACCCTGCCCTGTATCTGAGTCTGGTAAAGCTAAGATGCCCTAGAATGATCAAATACCACAGTTCCTAACCCTATAGAATACTAAAACCAGTCATAAGACAAGCTCTGTACTGCTAGGACAGCCTCCTCACCTGGGTCTGTTTACCTCCCCACAGAGGCTGAATTGAACTGATTGGTTGCTGGAGCCAGCCTGGGTAAAGTCTGCAATTGATTCTCATAAAGGGCATAGCATAGCAGATAACATTCGGTGGCAGCCAGCACTCACAGCGGGAAACAAAGGCCTGCCCAGATTGGGTGCCTAAAGGAAAAAGCAGTCACCGGAGAAGTGTTTGCCTGGGGTGTTGTGTTTAGATTTTTTGGCGTTCTCATTTCTCTTTGTTTTTACTTCAGGTGAGAAAGACAGGCCTGCAAAAGAACGTTCATTCAACAAATATTTGTCCGTCAGCTACTGTGTGACAAGGGCGACATTAGTTACTAAACACAATGTCCTCATCAGACTCCGTGAAGAAATCCACATTGGAATTGCTCAAACATCCACTGACCTGAGAAAAGGAAGATAAATTAAGTCACCTTCCCACCCAGAAAAATTCCCACCTGGATCGCGGTTCAGAAACCAAACCAGCTGAGTCAGCCGAAGGCTCCCCCTCGGAGGAACTTAGCTTAAGGGGTGGGTCCTAAGGCCACTTCTCTCCCCAGCCAGGCTCCCAACAAACGGGAAAACTCAAACCCAGCTCGGTCACTGGCACTTTAAGAACATGGCAGGACCTGCTCTCACCTGAGCCTTCTGACCCAATTACCAAATTCTGCAACTGAAACCTTCCCCCCTGGGAGCAGCTCACAGTGGGCAGGTGAGGTAGCACTCGGTATTCAAGTGCCGCCCACCCCCGTGTTCTTGGCCTTGATGTAGATTGCTCTGTAGGACAGCAAAGTCAAGCTATCAAACCACAGAGAACATTTACCTTATAAGGAGGAGGGAATGCATATTCTCCCCAGGGCAAGTTCTAGCCTTCTCTTCCTCAGTCCTGGCCTGCGGGAAGGGGGATGGGGTAAGGGAAGAACAAAGAGAACAGGGAAATGGGCAGCAAGCTGGTCCACCTAGTGAGGGGCTTTCGAGAATTTCTGTTGCAATATTGGTCAGTCTTGTGTCGAGGCCTGGCAGACACGTGAAATCCACCTCTTGACAGATCATGGGCTTTGAAGAAAAGGGCTTATCCCAGTTGATCCACAGCACATCAAAAAGAACTTAAGGCAACCAGGCCAATGCAAGGAACTGCAGAGTGACGGGGAGGGAGAGGCAGCCACCCTTAGAGGCCGATGACTAAGATCTAGAGCCCTGTGTTCTCAGCATTCCCCCAAGATGGCAGCACGCAGGAGCAACGCTGCCCCAGCCTCCTCCTCCTCTATGCCCCACGCCCATCGCAGCTAACCCCTCCACCTCCTGGAAGCCCACCGAGATCCCCTCCACCAGCCACCCAGCACCTAAGACTATAAGAACAGGCAGAGAGGGAAACTTTGGAAGCAGCCAAAATCACAGAGAAAAATATCTAATTAGACGTTCATAGACTGCAATATCAAGTAGCCATTAACATCGAGGCATCTGAAGAATGTTTACTGGATTTGGGAAAATGTTTAAATAGGTACTTAAGGGGGGAAAAGGCATCATACAATATTGACTGTATAGTAGTATCTCCATCTTGTACCATAACATGCACTTGTGTACATAAGCACTGAGAATTTTTGAAAAGGGAAAGAAATAATACATCGATGCAACAAGAGGTTCTTAGTGGTTACCTGGTGATAGGACTGTGGGTGAATTTTATACGTGCCTAAGTACTTTTACATACGATTCACATTTTCCTACAATGACATGTTTCGATTCACAACTTAAAAACAAAACACTACAAGTAGTATTTTTTTTTAAGCACAGGAAGCTAAGACATTTCTTGGCCACTGGGAGATATAAAAGATGATGGCCTTCAGCTAATGAAACCACGGTAACAACAATCCTCTATCTACATAGGCTTAACAGTTTTTACATGCGCTTTTATTCAACGTGTCTGATTTCATCCTCATAATGAAATTATCATCCCCATTGTTATCATCCCCATTTTACAGCTGGGTTAACTGAGGCACAGCTAAGTGTTTTATCTGGGGCCTGGACCCAATACTTCTCAGTCAGAGTGTGCTGTACCATATCCTGCCACTGCACCCAGCCTTCTAAGTCCCTCCCTTCTTCTATACACCAAGAAAGTAAATGAAAAATATCAACAAAGATCCAAGCAGCATGGAGGGCCAACGAAGTGGTTAGGGAGGAGACTGCATGACACCCACCCTTAAACACACCTAAACCAGAGTTCTCTTTCAGAACACTCTCACCACCCAAATCCCAATGCCCACAGAACAAGCTTAGCCTAGTTTAACTCAGCTCTGGTATCTCTAGCTGCCATCACAGCAAAATTCAAGGCCTGTGTCTCCAACAGGTATTCAACTAGCCAAAGAACAAAGATTTAACCCATCCACTCCCCTCATACTGGGCACTGAGCAGGGACACTATCAACCTCCCCAAGGCATAAACCATCCTCTCTCACACCCCCATTCCAGGAAACAGGTCCCCTACAAACACCTGTACTGCCACCTCTGCAGCCCCTGCCCAGACTAGTTTCCAGGAACACGGCCACCCCAAAGCCAAGATTCAGTCGTCAATGGTTTTGCTCAGAGTAAAACACACACCCTCATTTCTTGCAGACAGGCCTCAGGCGTGGTCCTGCTTTTTCCCTTCCTCCTGGAGAGACCTGAAATGCCATCTTCCAAGTTCCCCAGTCTTTCCTCCATTTAGTTTAGCCCTGTTTAGGGGTAAATTCTGGACCTCTAGCCATAATTCCCACGCCCTGCCTCCCTGCTTGATTGAAGTTGGGGGCTGGAGAGAGGGAGCTACAGGGTATAGGTGCTGCTGTCACGCATTATACAAACATCGAAAACTACTCTCCTGGGTCAGCACCAGCCTTCACCAACCCCTACTCAAACGCCTTCTTCCTCTCCCTTCCCTGGCTTCCACTTTTGACATCCACGAAGAGAGCAGGGCTGGGGTAGGGATGACCCCTTTAACACACAGCAGGCTCCCTGTAAACAGTGGCACCCTGGGCCTGCTTTCCAGTCTGGCCTGGAAGACTTTCCCCACTTCTCTATACCAGCCCTCCAGCCCTTTCAGGCGAAGAGGGCCTCACCCCCAGAGCAACCACGCCCGGCGCCACCCTCGCCAGCAAGTAGCTTAGCTACTTGGAAATTGACGGGTGTCTCTCAGTCCCAGGGCAGAGGCCTGACTGTGCTAAACAAATCCCAGGAGAGGAAACAAACTGGCTAAAGTTACTGGCCGCCCCGACGCGCAATTTCCCAAAACACCCACCAAGATCAAGGGCCGGCCGGCCTGGGAAATCCCCTCTTCGGGATCCAGGGGCCTGCGGAGCGGTGAGCTGGGAGGACCAGCGTGGTGGAGGAGCCTTAGCGCTCCCCGACAGTTGGTGGGTAGGGGCCCGAGAGCCGCACACTCCAGTTGGGCGGGAGGGAAAGGGAGTCGACAGAAGTAGGGGGTCGGTAAGGGCCCAGCGCCCCCGGGCTAGGACCGCCCGAAAGCTACCTGAAGCAGAGCGATGGGCACCCAGCCCTAGAGGGTATCCCCAAACAAACAGATGTCCTTAAGCAAGCTTTCCTCACCCCCACAAACTCTGAAGGGGACGCTTCTTCACCGGCGGGCGTGTCCTCCCTCCCTCAAGCGAGGCTCCAGACGTTGGCGCCCCCACCTTTCTTCAATCCTGCTGCCAGAAGCGAACGTCCCTCCGAACCAAGTCCCCAGTTAGGATCACCCGTCGCCACTGCTCTCCTCGGCCGGTTGGGCAAGCAACACCTGGCTCTGCGCAGGTAGGGACTGCAGGTTCCGCTCCCAGTCCCACACCGGCCCTCACCTTCCCCGCCCAGGTGAGCCAAGCTCACGTCAGCGCCTCGCCTCGGGACGCCGCGGACCCATCTGCCGTCCGGCCACGCCTCCCAGGTGTGGCCACGCCCCCATGCGTTCAGGATTGGCGGGTTGCGAGAAATATGATACTCTGTGTTCCTGGGCAGCCCAGGCCCCCCCAGCCCCTTCCCCACCGCCCTCCCCCACTTCTAATCCGGGCTGAGAAAATTCCGGGACTGGGGCCTAGACCTGACCCCTTGGGGCTAGTGGTCTTCTGAACTGGAAGCGACTGGAAGGAAAAATAAGTCGAAAAGACTTAGATCTAAGTCGAGAAGGTGCCTCCCTTCCTTCATGCCCCATAATCACCCTGCGGTATGGAGACGGTTAACTACAAATAAGGATTCAGAGATTCTGGGTTGGCCCTAATACCTGTGGGCCTGTATAAGTGGAGTGGGGTATTGGGAAGGGACTCAGGACACTTGGTCCCTTCTGAGGGAAGCCCTGTGTCTTACAGGGCAGGAATTCTGCCTTCACTCTGCCTTTTACCCCTATGACCCTGAGTGAGTTGCTTAGCTGCTCAGTTTCAGTTTCCTCATCTATTCAATGAGAATAATAGTCCTGCCTTTTCCAAATACTATCAGGTAATGATTAAAAGCATGGCCTCTGGAGCCAACTACTGATATTCAAATCCAACTGCATCAGTTACTACAGACTTGGGCAAGTTTTTTAAGCTGTCTGGGCCTCAGTTTCTTATCTGTAGAAGGAGGTAAATAATAGTACCCACCTCAAAGGGGCGTTGCGGGCATTCAAAAAATTACTTCATATAAAGTGCTTGGAACAGTATTTGGCACTTTCCAAGTGCAGTATAAATACCATTTTTATTGGTGTGAGGATAAAAAGTACCATATTGGCATTGCCTCATGGAATAAACAGACATCTACTGTTACGTGAAATTCAAGGCCTGTATGTCCCCTAACAGGTGCTTGATACAAGTTCCCTCACCTTTCCCACTGCAGAGAACTCCAGTCCATGTAAAGTGCATGCTTACAGTGAGCTGTGTACTAGCACATGAGATGTGGAAGCACTAGGCTGTCACAGGTAAGAAGGGGCATAAGCAGGGTACTTAGGTTTTGGAGTTTAAAGCAATGAGTTAGAGACCATGATGGAGTAGTGTTATGACTGAATTATGTCCTCCCCAAATTCAGATATTGAGGTCCTATAACCTGCAGTATCTCAGAATGTGATTGTGCAATACTGTGGACTTGATTCCCAGTCCCAACTCAGCCTAGTGACATAGCCGGCAAAGGCCTGGGAAGGCAGCAAGGCCGAGATCCTGACTCAGGCAGCCTCTGTCTCAGCCACTGCTTGTGGCCACTCTGCCCTTCACTTAGGGGAAGGGGAGGGCTATCTCATCAGCGCAGCCAGTCTGTTACTGCTGCTGAGCTTACCGGACAAGCCAAATCTTCCATCTGGCCGAGGGCTGGGCTCCCGAGACCAAGCAAACAGTCCACTGCAGGTGTGTGTGATGGAGGAAGACCACCGGGGAGTGTCATTTGAGGGGAGCCAAAAGCCCAATGGCATACAAGTATGAGTGCACACACGGACATTCACTTTTCCAGTAGCTGAAATTACCATAACTAAGGTGATTTCTTAGTGACCTTCTTTGGAAGACACTTTTTTTTTTTTCTGCTCTGTGTGGCTTGTGAGGATCTTAGTTCCCTGACAGCCAGGGATTGAACCCCAGGGCCACATCAGTGAAAGCTCTAAGTCCTAACCACTGGACTGCCAGGGAATTCCCTGGAAGACACATATTTTAGAATCAGAAAATTTGAGCTGGGAGGGCCCTTCAAATCCTCTAGTCTCGGGATGAAACTGGCTTAGAGATATTTGTTTGACCCACGCGTTTTTTGGTTTTTTTAATTTTTTTTATTTTTTGCCTACATTGGGTCTTCGTTGCTGCACATGGGCTTTCTCTAGTTGTGGCAAGCGGGGGCTACTCTTCATTGCGGTGTATGGGCTTCTCACTGCGGTGGCTTCTCTTGTCGCAGAGCATGGGCTCTAGGCACATGGGCTTCAGTAGTTGCAGCACACGGGCTCAGTAGTTGCATCATGCGGGCTCAGTTGTTGTGGTTCACAGGCTTAGTTGCTCCGCGGCATGTGGGATCTTCCCAGACCAGGGCTCGAACCCGTGTCCCCTGCATTGGCAGGAGGATTCTCAACCACTGTGCCGCCAGGGAAGTCCCCCACACAGTTTTTTAAACATTGGGAGATTTCACATAAACATCCAGATCCTTAGCATCTCTTGAAGAGTCAAATGCTCTGGACAGCCTAGGTCAGCATTTCCAACAGGCAACAGCTGCCCATTTAGAGAGTCTACAGGTAGCAGTCAGGACAACCCCATCATATTGGATTCACTCATTTACTTTAATCTCCCGATTCTGTAGGCATATGAGTTTGCAACCTCTAGTCCAAATATCCTTTTTTTAAAGGTGAGAAAACTGAGGCCCAGGGAGGTCAAGTGATTTGCTTAAGGTCACATAGCAAATTAGCCACAAAGCCAAGACTAGAACCCAAGCCCAGAGCTCTTCCCGCTTGGACCCTGTTCAGCACCCCAGCCAGACTCTATTCTGACTGTGCTGCACTGGTCGTTAAGTTTTTTTTTTAAAGTTGCCCATGCATCTAGACACTGTCGATACTATGGTGAACAACTCTTGTATCACTCTACTGAAGAATCAATGAAAGGGAATAAAGCTGGAGGAATTAAGGTAGAGATCAGGAGGAAATTTCTGGCTCTTCAAATTATGAGAGCTGGCAATAGGCCACCCTGAAGCCTCCTTTGCTTGAGACATACCTCATCTGCTTGGTCTGAGGAAGAAGAACACCTTGTGAGTCCCTGCAAGGGCTCTAGAGGAATCAGTTCTTCTGTGTTCTCAAAAGAACTCTCACGGGATTCAGACATCACCAGTATGGCTTGAGCCTGCAGCGTTCCCAGCATTTTGCCCTATGTCCCTGCTCAGGTGAGGCATTACTGAGTCACTTGTGAGCCTGAGTTTCAGGCAGGGAGATGTACGTTTGAGCACAGAGGTCGTGATTCACAACTACAGGGAATCAGGGAATTTCCCTCTCTGGCTCCCAGGCAACTCTTACCTGGTGAGGAGGGGTCTTTTTCACCACCCTGTGGCTTTAGCCTCTGCAGTATCAAACATATGACAATAAAGCCCAAACCCCAAAGCCCAAAGCCCAAATGTGACCCAAATCCCACCCTCTTCTTGGCAGAGTAGAGGGCATGGCAACTGGAACCTTTCTCAATGGCTCGGTATAGTGGAGAGTATTCCTGGAATCAGTGACAACAAATAATCTCAGAGACTGGGCTGCACGTCAGTGGAGCTGCTGAAGAAGGGGTATTAGGGACTTCAAGCTAAACAATTCAATTCTGTGCTCTCTCAGAGGAACTCAGACCCCAGCCAGCCTCTGGAAGGCAATTCTGGAACCCATCAGGTCTACCCCCAGTCCTTTCTGTGCCCTGGTTTATCTCTGGCTCCATCAGGTGTTTCAAGGTACTGGGGCCACAGGTGGGCCTAACGCATTGCCTGAACAACAACCTAAATTGTAGTGCACATTGGTATTGCCCCCTCCTCTGTCCCCTTACCCTCCATAGACTGCATCCCAGAATGCAATCCAAATCCTAGAATCACTGAGATTTCTGCAACGGAAGCTGCAGCAGAAATCCATAAATGAATCTCACTTTCCAACCCAGACAATGAAACAGACTTTGGCTTGGGACTTTAGGAGAATTCTCCACTAAAGTGTTCAGAATTATTTGTTTCTGACTCTCTTCTTATCCTTGGACCAAGCTGAGCACTGGTACGTGTTCTCAGAGAAGCAGCTTTCTTTATTCCAAACTTGGATCTGTATAAGAGGAGGAGGAGGGAAAAGAAGGCTCAGTAACTCCCTTGGAAGTACGTTGCCCACCTGGGGCCCTCCCTCCAAACCTCTTCCCTTCAGCGCCAATCTAACAGTCCACTTCCATCTCCCCTGGCAAAGAAAGTTGTCACTGGACCTGCAGATAAAAGAGCCAAACAAGAAGTTACAAGTACCATGAATGTGAGGGTTCATAGTCCTGATTTCAAATATGTTTCCCTGTTGGGACAGAGCAGTGTCTTGACTTTGGTCAGCACCAAACTACCTATCCTGTGATTATCTATGGCTATGATATGAGATCGTGGATATGAAAGCTCTCTGAAATTAGACAAGCGCTGTGTGGATGGGAGGGCTTCTCACTGCTATTATCTGCTTTTTGTTTCCTCCTGTAAATCATTCTCTCCAGGCCTCAGTCAAGTCCTTGAGGGCAGCAAGGCACAGGCCAGACAGGAACTCCTGTAAGTCAGGAGCTCCTGGCACAGGGCTAGGGGCAGGGTGATCTCCGTGAGCAGCAGAGAATGTGTTGACTTCAGAAAAATGAGTTACCTGGGGATACAGGATCATTGGGGGTCAGTGAGACGAAAAACTGGACTTCTGTTCAGTAAGACTGATTGACCAAATGTGTTTTATCTTGTCTCCCTCCCCAGGCCATTCCAGTAAAATGACAAATGAAGGAATAAAAAAAAAAGATTTTAACCCACAAGGTTAAGAGAGGACAAAAGCACAGGCGGGGAGATAAGACGGATGAAAGATATCAACAGAAAATATTAGGAGATTAAATATTATGTTAACAAAAATAAGGAGTGGGGAGGGCTGATATTTTGATTATAAAGGTTTCAGTACTATTTAATTTTTAAAGCAGATATATATAAAATTTAAGAAAAATATTATTATCAGTATTTTTTTTTAAAGAAAGAAGAAAGAGCACCTGCGACTCAGGAGAGACCTGGGTGTCAGATCTTTCTTTGGTACTTGGTGACAAGCAGAGCTTGTCACCGTCACTGTCTGAGCCTGGGCCCCTTTATCTGAAGGAGTTGAACAAATCCCACAATCACCTTCCAGTTCTAACAATTCCTAGTTCTACAAGTAAATTATAGAGGCAGCACTGACGTCCACAGAAAAACAACCTGTGCTTTGGAATTAGTCAAAAGTTGTCTCAGATTTCCC